CGAAATCAATTGAGCATTTGCTTTTTTTCTTGCAAAATATTGTCCAACTTCTGCAAACATGTCTCATCCTGGCTTAAAGAATTAGCTATTTCCTTCAGGTTTATTTCGATCGAAATTTCCTCTTCTTGAGGAAAGGAGAAAACTTGCTTGATAGGCTCAGTCTATCGGAACTTCGAGTTCCTATCCAGCGACAATTGGCCCACGTAATACTGCAAATGGTTTTGGCATAGTTTTTGCTAGATATTCTACTTCTACTCGAGATGATAATCGCTTGTTGTGATGATGGAAATGGGGGGAAAAAGGATCATAAGTGAGAGGAAGCATTTTTATAAAGCAGCTGATTGGCTACTACTGAATAGTTGGTTAGCAATAAAGGGGGTAAGTTTCTAAAGAAACTGTGGTGCTGCGTCGGTGGATATAAAATATAAAAGGTAATCTGATATTATCAACTGAGTTGATAACGTAAATTTGGCCACCGTTAAGAGTTTCAAAGCTGACGTTTCGAGCGTTAGCCCTTCGTCAGAGCCGGCGAATAAAAACAAGAATACCAAATTACCTTAGTAGGTAAACAACAAATGCCTGATGAAGCTTAACGCTCATGTAACTTTCTTATGAAATTCTGTCATTAGTTGCCGTTCCGCTTTATCGTTATCAGCTGTGGCATCTCAAAGCAGAATAGGATGGTAAAATTAATTAATATTGACAACTTCGCCAGTTTTGAATAATTAGTGACGTCGCCACATTAACATTAAGCTCAAGAAAAATTTAACCAGCGTTATTGAAACACTAGATCTGCCATGTTTATCCTAAAAGAGTTGAAGAGATTCCTCTTTTGATGATGAGACTTCCAACCAGGAACACAACCAAATTCATTGAAGCAAAAATAAAACGTTTTCCTGATTTCATCGGCGGTGAAATTTAAGCTGCAACTTAATGAATGCGTTCATTTTGAAATTTGTCTCGACGAAGGTTTTTCTAAACATATACCCACCTACGTGAGCACGAAGAGCTATTGTGGGATGATAAACTATTTTGAAACCCTACTTTGGTGACAGACTTTTCGGCTGACGTGTGGCCCTCATATAAGATGACGGGACGGTGGGGGGAGGGGCGGAATCATTTGACTCTCGTTTCTCGCTATGCGCTGCTATTCGTGGGGACTAATTTCTCTCTCAAACGCATTAGAACAATTGTTCTACAATTAATCTTTATTTCTTGCAAATGCAAATCAATCGTTACAATTTTTTCACAGTCATTGGTATAAGGATTATCATATATATAGATAGGGAGCAAATCAGGGTTAGTTTTTTGCTTTTTGCCAATGCCGTAAACACAATATCAAGATTTATTTGTTCAGATTCTGCCAAATTCTGATCTAAAAGCCTCCATGTGCGTCGAAAACTTCACACACCATTCATCTGTGACTGATAAAAGGTGCAAATATATAGTTTAGGTATTGTTATCTACCATGTGAACATCTACCATTCTGATCAGAACTTGTTTGGAGAAAAAGGCCTCATGAAATATGTATAAATGCAGGCGTTTATAGCGTAGGGGTGTCGCAATTCAAAGTTCTCACAAGGACATCGATGTACTAAATTTGACACCAGACACGTATAACCGTGATTCCAATGCGATTTATTGCAGAGTAATAATCTGATGTCAAACACGTCTAACTAAAATACCAGCAAAAAAACCTAATCTAAGCGACATTACACGGAGCTAAGCCAAAAACAATAATTATTACATAACAATACAAGAAAGGACGAGCGCACAAAACCTAACAATAATCGATTAGAGAATAAAACGAAAAACAACAAGGGGAGAGAAAAATACACTTACGAATTGTCCTCTCTGTACACCTGAATAGAAGTCGCAAATGAACGCAGTAATTAACTTCGCTGATAACTCTCTCGCATTTCACTCTCTCAAGCAACAACGCACGAGGTTCTATAATAGCCCTTTTGATCTTACGCGTCAATAGTGTCTAACCAAACTTAATCTTTAACTTAACAACAGTTACAATATGTGTTCGATCTATTGTGAAAAAAAAAATGCATATATATATATATATTTCTTTTCTTTTTCACAATAGATTAAACACATATTTCACATATGTATGTATATTCCAATTGCGACTCTCTGAGCTTTCCATCAACCGCTCAAACAATATTTTCACAATAGATTAAACACATATTTCACATATGTCTGTATATTCCAATTGCGACTCTCTGAGCTTTCCATCAACCGCTCAAACAATATTGAAACCAACTGCAGCTTTAATGAATGGATTCGGTTTGGATTTATTTTTTTCGGCCGTTTTGTCGTTGATGTCCTGAAAATTTTGCCGAGAATTGAAGCTACCAGACCCGTCAAATAATCTTTCACCGGAATGTCAGTGTAATGATAAAGCCTATCTGCTTTCTCTCTTTTGTCAAACATGTCCATGAACTAGCACTTGATAATTGCTGGTTGGAAAACAAACTCTTGCAACTCTTTGGTTTGAAAATACAACGGCTCGTTTACATATGAACAGGTCAAAGGTAAAACTCGATTAATTGTTGTAAACGAAGTTTAAGCTTTAGCAGGACTGTGTTATGGAAAAGCTTCTCGAAATAAATCAAACAATACAACTCCTTAAGTGAGTTTGAAATGAAATTGAGAAAACTCATTTTTGAAACTGAGATCATCTAGTTTTTAGTACAATGTTAATATACACGGTATCATATACACGGTTTCCTTGTAAAGCAAGTTTGACTTTGACTACAGTATTTTTGGTTTTCCTAGCAAGTGTAGTTAGTTTGATTAAATCCTTTAGAAATAATTGTAAGTTTTAACCCGATGGAAACACCTTGTAAACATGGAATTTTACTGCTTTTACCATTTCAAAGACAAGCACTATTTACAATACTAAATATAGGTAATGATTTTTAGCGTCGGTTAGAAAACTAACGTAAGTTACTGATGAGAGAAAAGTTAATGCCAACTTAAATTATGTGCAGTACTAAATTACCTTCCGATACTAACAGAACTTTTTACAATAACCAACCTAACCTAACTGGCTCAGTCGGAGGAATTATAGGAATAGTTAATCATGTCACTTCAGTATGACTGACTTTAGCAGCAAATTATCTGTTCCCTGTGGCAAGGGTGTGCTGATTCATCACCTCATAGGACAGAGTAAGAAAACATGAGATCAAGAGATCCTCGTGGGCTGGTAGAGTTGAGACATCTAAAGATAATCGGCAATGTGAGGCAGCCCACGTTCACATATCAAGTCGTACAGCTCACCCACTGTTCTTAACATTCACCTTAGTTGTACGTCACGAAATATGACTTGTTTATAAATGAACGCCACGAGACCATCAAGTTATATAAGTGACCTACTTTATGAACTGCTGGCAAGAATATACTCATGGACCATTGTAATGAGAAAAGAGCAACATATCTGCAGTATGGTTTCATTTCGAGTATGGGTCTATGTGATGCACTCGACATAGGGAGCAGAGTGTGCGTAAAAGTAGAGACGCCATTCCAGACTCACTAGTTATAAGATAAGTTTTTCTGCTGTTTCAATATATCCCCCACTTCCCCCTTCCATTATCATTGTTGATTCTCTCATCTCGTGTATTGTCTCTCGCTCGCGTTTTTTCGCTGCGTTGACAAGAACTTTTAAAGTTGTAACAAGGACATTATTTTGCAACTGAACATAACATGAGTAATATCCAAACATGTCTTGCAAACTTAAAAGTGTTGCTTGTTTTATGTAAATTATTTCCTATTTTAATTTCACGGATTAAAGAGAGTTCGATGTTCGAGACCTTCTGACTATTTTGTTAACAAGGCATCATGGTTATAACTGTTCAATAATCCATAGATAAGTATTGAGAAGGATTTAAGGAAATGATATCAAACAGCTAACCTGTTGTTCCTGGTAGTGTGATCTCTCTTAAGTAATAGAAAACGTCGAATCTTTTTAAATGTTTCGCCCTTCTTGCCAAGCCACGGATAGCCCTTTTGTCCTCTGTGGTTGGATTTTTGAAAATGCCTTTATCTAGCTGTATAGAGTTGTCCAATTGTTGTATAACAGCTCGAGCACTGCTTGACGATGTCAAAATAGATTCTACAGTGCAACAAAAAAGAAAGGAAAAACAGCATTTACGATCACAGAATAAGTAACGACGATACTGACATCAAACTTTCGGAGAGAAATCTGATGGTTGCCCATGAATTGTTCAAATCAGAGTTTGCTGTTTTAGGTGTTTCAAAATCAGCAGACTTATTCCAATAAAACGCCGACTGATTCAAAGAGGTTAAATGCAAGTTCAAGTAAATCAACTGCCAGAAGAGGGATGAATGAAATTTAAAATGGGCTGTTATGCTATACCATTACAGTAAGCTTTCAGGCTCTGAAAAAGTACAAGTTTCAGCCATACCAAGTACGAAGCAAGAATTTGGTTGTAATCACGTTCATCCGCTGGTAATTCAGATTGACAGGCTTACCTGGAGATAAATCAAAACTTCACATTCAAAGTTGACTGATAATTATTGTAGTTGTTGTGTTTTTTTCGTTTTTTGACAAAAATACCGTCATTTGAAAATGTTGTTCTAAACCTGTGTTTGTTCAGATCCATACGCAAATAAATATACAGCGATACGAAATATAAGATATCACTCATAAAGAGTGTCCTCATTTCTAATTGCTTTAGTAATTCCATATCTTTAGCAGGTTTATTCTAACTCATTCTCATCCACATTCCGTACGAGTTATTGACCAGTTTAAGGTCGAGATGGCTGAATATTGACCAAATTTTTTTTTATATTAAAGTTCACACGGCAACCAGGTGGACAATCAGACATAGTTTGATGCTACTCTGGTTTACAGATTTAATTAATGTAACCGAAGAAGTCACAATTCATAGACCCAACGTTTCGACACTCCTGTCTAGTGCCTTCATCAGCTCATACCTATTCAATTAAAAATCATCATTCGGTGCAGACTAACTATAACTTTCACCTTTGCCAAATCCATATTCAGAAGTGGCACTACTCCAGGTCCCAGCTCCACTATCACTCGGTAATGTGATTTCGCTGAAGGTCTCTCGAAGATTTTCCAAAAATTCTTTTACACGCACTTTTCTGTCAAATGGTAAAAACTTCCTCTCTGGAAAAGGATCTTTTGTATTCGCTGTGGTCATGTTTCTTTCTTTCTGAAGGTCTGAATCAGAACTTGCTCGATCTTTTAATCCTCTTTTTTCTTCAAGTTTCATCTCTAAAACTCATAGTAAAAAATGTAATATAGTGCTGAATGAAGTGGTGCATTCTACGTCATTTGCAAAAGAGAATTGAGACATTGAACACCTTCCTTACTTGGATAATCATCAAGCTCTCGGAAACAAATTATATGCTAGTAAGAAATCACCCACAAGAAAGGTGAAACGTAAGAGCGAATTTTACCAATAGTTAAACATTTGGTGGCAACATCTGAAAAAATCAATTTAGCCCACGCGACAGATCAGGCTGAAAATGAAGTGATTCGTCCCATTGTAAGACACAACAAGAGACGTTTCTAATTTATCTCACACAAGGAGTCATGCATAATGGCGGGACTATTAAAGGTGTATTTACCTTCTGTTCCTGATATTAACAAATCGAACCTCGCATTTCTGTATTCATCTTCGTCGATGTGCACAGTCAACGTCACTTCACCACCTGCAAGCTGCTTTATTTCCTCAGTAACAAGAAACTCTTTTAAATTTGTCTGTAGCTTTTCGTCTTGATAACTTTGCCATAATACGTCAAGAGCAGAAATATTTTCTGCTTGAATCGTAAATCGGATCGATCCTTCACTAATTGCACGCAAGCAATTTCCAAATGGAAGGACAGCTTCTTTGAAAGCGTTGACAAACTCTTCGATACTGAGACTTCTGCGAAGGACCATCCATGTAGTGACGACCACAGTACCACCAGTAACATTGCGGAAAGTACAGTGAGGTGTGACAACTGCAAAAAATCTAGAAATCATAGTGTTACATTAGCCGCTTGTGGAGTCGATTAAAAAAGCGGGCCTGAGCAAAGTAACAAACGTTGGGGAAGAGTTGGCTAAGGAGAGCACTTCTTCATAGACTCCTCGTGTAACTTGCTCTCCTGCCTCTTTGCAGGAAAGCGAATTACGCTTTCTCCAGCATTTGAGAGCCTAGCAAAGTCTAAGTTTGAAAGGATTGCTGTTTTCGAAAGTTATACGTTACTGAAACAGACGACAATAAAGCTTATGAATAAAGAGAAGTGGGTGGATTATAGACACAAAGTATTCTTTTTCGATCACAGAAAAAAAATGTAAAAGATTTTCCAAGAAAAGTACTTTAACAAACATTGTCCAGGCTCAGCAATTTCCATGTTTATTTAGTGAATACCGAGCAAATTTCCTTTTCTTTGTTGGATCTCATCGTTGATTCTGGTAAGGGTGACAATATTAGTTTGGAGTATGCAATTTCCACTCGAAGACTCCAGTAGCGTGAGCCTCTTGAAAGCACTGTGTCAGCGGGAATTACTGCTTCGGGTTCTAGGTTCCTCATAATTTGGGTCTGCTTATCAGCAAGGTTAATTAACACTGTCTTACCTCCTATTAATCTTTCTCCAATGTTTATTCCACCAGAAAGAACAGAAGCGACCTGAGCTGGAATGTGAAAAAAATCAATCTTTGGACTATTAAATATACAATAGTTTAATCAGGGAGAGAAATATTGAATATTGATTTTTGAAATACCTCTCTTGGCAGACTTTTCATGTTCCTGGCTTAAATTTGCGGTCCACAAGGCCATTTGATCTCTGGTATGTTAATTGTTTAACCCCTGAGGGTAACTAGCATCTAATTTGCAAATAAGGCGTGACCACTGAATCACTCGTTTCGCCCATAAATTAAGAAAATAATGGTAACCTTAATAAGCTCTTGATTATTAACTAAATTTCCCTTTGTCGGTGCCATAACAAATGCATAAAGAACAGAATGGAGAATATATGAGCTGATGTTAGGGTATAAATGGTTAACTGATCAGCAGTGGGGTAAGAGCTCACTCCTTGTATCTCTTATAGATCTGTTTCAAGAAATGAAAGCTACAAAAAGGTCTTTTTAGACTCAATTCTTTTGCGATAACTTTACAGTAGCTGTCTTTAAATCGCACGGTGTGTTCTTGCGTGAATGACCGGGTTACTAAGGTGTTTGTAAAATAGAAGTGACCAAGGACGAGCTTTTAACGTAACTAAAGACAAATTTCAAGCACTTATTGATTCGTTGGAGTCTCAACTCACGGTATCTAGCAAATTGCACGAAGGATGTAAACGCTACGTACAATGTAGAGCAAACTTCTCCTTCAACTCTTACGGGCGACTCGCCGCTTTTGAAAATAACATAGAGGAGGCCCTGGGAACGAAGTTAGTGTTTATTCGCCCGCCAAATTGTCTCAACATGTCTTACCAGCACTCTATCGATGCTTTCAAGAAGGTGCAAATAAACAGGTATACCTTCATCAACAAAATCACAATAAACCACATAGAAATATTTCGCACATTTTTGCACTCTGTCAGGTTAAAACTAAGCTAAAACCTTGTAGAAATATCGAGTAGGGAAGCAATATCTAGAGGTAGAGTGACCATGTGTGGCCAAGGGTTAAATTTTCCGTACAGACAAGTGGAAGTGACTACCCACTCGTATCAGCAACATAGTCCGAAATCACGGGTTCGCAAGCTTAGTTTCTGATTATACAGTTCTCGAAATTTTTTCAGACGGTCGATTGAACAAACACTTAACTTAAGTCTGGCAACTTCACCGACTAAAAACCCTAGAATTCTATTCGCCATGTTCGATTTCAAATCCAAAGTTTGGTCAAGGAATTTTCATTAACTGTTCCATTAACTGTTTAGAAATTGGGTAAGGAATTGTTCCTTACCGCGTGCTCTTCGTATGTTGTACTCCCTTTCTCTCTTTTTCCGCTCGGCATCTTCTTCCTGTTTTCTCTTCTTCTCAAACTCCTCTAGGAGTCTGCATACATCTGGTTTCTCCACCTCTTTTGCTAAAGTTTTCAGGAGAGTGAGGTCTTCTATCCCCAAATTGTTCTGTTGTTCTAGCACTGTGAACAATGCATTGACATCCACGATATCTTCTTCGCTTTCACGAGCTATCAGATTTTTTCCTCTGCAGATTGAAATGAGTCGTTGCAGTTCATTGGACTCGTCGAGTGCATGACTTATCTTCTCCAGTAACTGTTTGTAGTCCTTTCTCTTAATTTCAAATCGCTCTATTCTGCGAAGAAGATCCCACTTTTCTATCTCTTTTAGTAGTTCCTTCATTATATTAAGACGATCAATTCCAAGAATATTCTTCTCCTCCAGCATAGTAAGTAGCGAATCAATGTCAGTTATACCTCCTTCAGAGCCATCAGGAAGGTAAGCTCTGAGGATAAATATCAACTTTCTCCGTTGAGTTTGCCAATCAATTTCCTCGCTAAATTGATACAGAAGAACTCGGTACTCGACAACAGACATAGCTGCAAGAAGGGTGGAGTGAGACTACTTTCGAGAAAATCAGTGATCATCAAGATAAAGTCGCGTTTTGCTCGTCATCATAACTGATCGACTTCTCTCGTTGCCTTCATGGTTATGCTTAGTAGTTACGCTAAATAATTCTATATTTACATAATCCTTGACGAGTTTAGCGACAATCGGGCGTCTAGAGGTCAATCTGATATTTGTAAAGTAAGGTATTCGACAACAAACAAAGCAGTTGGTAGGATGAAGAGATATTACTACGGCTAAAAGCAACGATCGGTGCGGATCAAGTCGCGCTTCGTTCCTCAAAATGGCAGCCAGTTTTCTTATTGCTGTTGATGTGGTTTAATAAACCACCTTAAAATTATTAAACTTTAACTGGTTTAATAACTTTGCCAATCGATTTCCTCGCTAAACTGAGACAGTAGATTTCAGTATTCGCAGAGTGAATACCAAAAGTTATAAGCGTATAAGAGTATAAAATCAGTTATTTTCGATTATCAATCCGCACTTCACTCGTCGACACACATGTACGTGGAGCGTCTTCGGTTGCTTCTAAAGTTATGCACAGTGCCTACATGATATGGTCCAATAGTCCCACAATCTTTGATGAGTTTAACAGCAACTTATAACTAGGGTCTAAAGTTTAAGTAGGTTCTTTGTATTTATTTCAGATCCTGAAAATATGGTTGTTTTTCAATTTTTTATTGACCTACTGTTATACTTTCGGAATATCTAGTGATTTATTCCTTCAGGTAAAGCGTGCTCGTTCCCGCTTTTGTCACATGCATATTAGTAACTTCCTCAACTTCTGAACGCATTCCTAAGTTCAAAGGCCCTAAACGTTTCTTCCCGCCATCGTTTCGTTTAGCGCCACTGACCAGTCTCTTCTTTACTTTTTGTTCTCAGCTACACACCGTTGTGGAACTGCCTCTCTCTTAGAGTGTGCAATCTCTTGTTTGCCATTCTCTACCGCCTATATGGCCGATAGCTCCACATTTCCTTTACATCGTAGCGGAAGTCCATCGTTACTGCTTGAATGAGCTCCGCAAAATCAGTAAGACTGTAGTAAAGTTTTGAGGCTATGACCTTTCAAAATTGCGTCACCCTCCAGTCATTTGTAGGGAGGGAGGGTAAGGGGCAAAAGCTTGCTCCGCCATACTTACATCTTCGACATTTTTCTCATAAGACTCTAAAGTTTGACAGTAGTGCAAACGTTAAGACACTTTTTCCAGCAGTGCCGAATGGGGATTTGATGCCGATTGCTTCAGTTAATGGTAAGTAATTTTCGAATATCAGTTCGGCTTCTTATTCTCACAATTAAACTGGAGCGATCCTTGTTAAAAAAAGTCTTATACGGATATTTCTACTGCTAATCTTGGTTGTGAACCAAATCCGTACGGCTATTTGGCTACCCTCTATCCACTGTTACATGCCAACCTTTCAGTAACAGACCAGACCAGATGCCTTAGGAAAACCTCTTTCTGACACGTCTCGTCACTTTTTCGCCATTTTCGTTATTACAACTAGCGATGATCGTCATAGTTACAGGTACACATAGTTATATAGTATACATTATCAAGAGGCAAAATTAAAATGATTTTGCAGCATTTTGACTCATTAAAAATACGATTCTTTTTCTGGTATTTGACAGCTTTTGCGTGGGTTAGAAGAGCACAGAACACGTCATCACAATGGAATGTGCTGTACATAAAATTAATCACCTCAGAGTAACCTTAAAGCGTGAAAATGTGTGATGTATGATTAGCTTACTCGCATGTATCTTAGCTTTGTACTCTGGAAATGTGGAAATATGCAGATGAGTCTTCGCTTTACTCACATTTATCCTAACTTAGAAGTCTGGAAGCTGAAGCTTTATGAATTTTAAGTACATGTCCATTTATAGCGAGATTTTTCCTCCCGAAGATTCAACCGAGGATACTCCAAGAGCTCGTTAAAAAAATTCCTGTCCAAAGTGAGGAAAACCGTTTAACAACATAAAAACCCTACATCTATGTAGGTTTTGCCTTTTGCCACTACCTACAAAACAGATACAACAAAACTCGAAAAGTTGTTGTGAAACTACGGCATCGTATCTGAGACAACTCAAACCTTGTTGAAATATTTTCAGAGGCAGGAACAGATTCTTTTCAAAGCGAAAATATATTTACTATCAGGAAGTCATAAAATGGATTTATCCAACATAGGGTCTGTGACAATATTTAGGAACATTGCTGATAAACACTTCCCGAAGATCCATTTAACTCTGATGAAAACTAAGCTCCGGAAAGAGCTCCTGCCTCTAACATGTTTGTTACAGCCGCTAAGGCCAGCTGATACATCAAAAGATTTAAATTCGCCACAAACGTGGAAAAATTTACAAGCGCTACTGTTTCCATGATGAGCATTGTTTCGTTTGACAGACGTATTTTTATTTCTGTCTGCACTCGAGGCAATGGCTTGCTCGCTCGAAACGTTCCAATTTTTTAGTACATCTACTAATGACGATTTTCAAACTCAAAAGGATAGTGGTTCCTGTTGACCAATGTTTTAAAAAACAAACCAGATTCTGTTAGAGTAAAGATTACTCTTCCCTCGGAAGGTAGTTGGGATTTCAGAAAATCGCTCTTCGAATTTTGTGCGTTTTCATGTGCAAAGGGACAGGCCTTCCCATTCTCAAATCTCCCCTATCATTTGCGCAAGTTGAAGACAAAACTTTTCTTTTCCAAAGCCCGCGTGTAAAAGTTGAACTTTTCCGAAACTCAGAAAAGCGGGCGCTACGAAGCCCGACAGACCAATTTTGGCCCATTTTTCCCTAATTTTCGGCGAGATGTCGACACATTCAGCTCGGTGAGGTCAGGAAAAATTAACCAGCATCATTGAAACACCGGATCTGCTATGTTTATCATATAAGAGTTGAGGAGATTACTCTTTCGATCATAAGATCTCCAGCTAAGAACCCAACCAGATGAATTGAAGTGGAAAGAAAACGTTTTCCCGATGTTATCGACCGTGAAATTTAGCATGTTTAACTTGCAACTTAATGAGTGCGTTCATTCTGAAACTTGTCGCGACGAAGGTTTTTCTCAACATATACCCACCCATGTGAGCAAGGAAAGCTACGATTGGATAATAAACCATTTTGAAAGCCGAATCTGACCACAAACTTTTTTTCTGACATGTGGCCCTTATATGAGATGATGGGACGATGGGGGGAGGGGTGGAATCAATATTTCCTTCTTGCTTTCTCTAATGCACTGGCATTGGTGGAGATTAATTTCACTGTCAAAGGCACGAAAATAATTGTTCTGGAATTAATCTTTATTTCCGACAAACGCGAATTGATCGTTACAATTTTTTTTACAATCAATGATATAAGGATTAACATATAAAAAGTGAAAAAAATCAGGGTGGGGGAGTTTGCTTTTTGTCGATGCTGTAAACACAATGTTAAAATGTATTATTCAAATTTAAAGAAAGCGACATAACTTTTAAGTCCGTAATACACGTTTCGACAGAAACTTATGTCATCTTCAGTGAATTAATATACAAAGTGTTGGAAGTTGAATTTTAGTCCCTTAGTCAATGACAGGGCCTCTCACATTTTCAAGCATCTGCAAGATTCTGCACAGCAGAGAACTTCCATGTTTTGGATCACACCTCTACCGGTTTCCAACTCAAAATAAAAGAGGCTATTTATATTCAAAGAGAACAACCATCCTTGAATCAACAATTACACCATGTAAATCTAAAACTATCCTTTTAATTCTCTCAATTTCATGCTTTACCTCTTCTCTTGTTGTCACCATTTATCATAATTAGCATTTTTCTACTTACTAGATGATTTAACTTCCAACACTTTGTACTTTAATTAACTGAAGATGACAGAAGTCTCTGTCGAAACATGTATTACAGACCTAAAAGTTTTGTCGCTTTCTTTAAATTCTTGACTTGCTGCTAATATCAAGACCCTTTGGAAATATTATTCAGATTCTGCGAAATTCTGACCTAAAAGCCTCAAGGCGCGTCGAAAACTTCACACATTAATCAACCGCGCTTAATAAAAAGTGCAAATGAAGTTTAGTTATTGTTATCTACCGAGCGAACATCTACTATTCTGATCAAAATTTGTTTGAAAAAAAGGCTTTATGAAATATGTGTTTTATCTACTGTGAAAAAATATGTCTATATTTTAAAAACGACTCTCTGAACTGTCCTCCAACCCCTTAAGCAATGTTGAAACCAATTGCAGCTTTTATGCATGAATTCGGCTCGGATGTTAATCAAGATTGCAAACGGAGAAGGACGTAATCTTGCCTACATGGTTTCTAAATTTGTTCATTTTCGACCGTTTTGTCGTTGGTGTTCAGAAAATTTTGTCAAGAATTGAAGCTACCAGATGCGTCAAATGATCTTTCACCGATTTGTCAGTGTCATGATAAAGCATATCACTTTTCTCTATTTTGGTCAAATATGTCCATGGACTAGCACTTGGTAATTGCTGGTTGGAATACAAGCTCTTGCATCTCTTTGCTTTGAACACATCACGGCTCGTTTATATGTGCACAGAATAATACTCGTCAAAGATAATACTCGTTTAATTAATGTGAGCGAAGTTTAAGCATAAGCAGGGCTGTGTTATGGAAAAGCATCGCCAAAATTCAAAGACAAGCACTATTTACAATATCAATTAAAGGTAATGATTTCTCGCGCCGGTTAGAAAACTAACGCAATGAGAGAAAAGTTAATGCCAATTTTAATAATGTGCAAAACTAAGTTACCTTCCGATACTAACATTACTTTTTATAATAACCAACCCTACCTAACTGGCTAAGTCGGAGGAATTATAGGAAAAGTTGATCATGTCAATTAAGTATGACTGACTTTAGCAGCAAATTATCTGTTCCCAGTGGTAAGTGTGAGCTGATTCATCATCTCATAGGACAGAGTAAGAAAAGATGAGATCGAGAGATCCTCGTGGGCTGGTATGGGGGGTTGAGATATTTAAAGAACATCGGCAGCGTGAGGCAGCCCGTGTTCACATAGAAAGTCATACAGCTCCCCCACTGTTCTTAAGTCGTGTCGCTTAGCTAAAACATTCACTAACTTTTCGTTCGAGTAGTCCAGTCCACTCATTTGATGCCGCATCTCGGAATATTGGCCTAAAATAAAGAAAACAAACGTTCACCTCAATTGTGCGACACGGAATATTACTTGTTTATAATTTAAAACCCCTCAGACCATCAAGTTATATGAGTGACCTACTTTATGAACTGCTAGCAAGGATATATCCATGGAGCATTATAATGAAAAAAGAATAACACATCTGCAGTACGGTTTCATTTCTAGTGTGGTCTATGTCACGCACTTAACATATGGAGTGGAGCGGAGATAAAAGTAGACACGCCATTCCAGACTCACTAGTGATTACAGAAGTTTCTCTGCTGTTTTAGTATTTCTTATTTAAACGAGAAGACCAAGCTTTGTCGGGTTTTTTAGTTTTTTTGTTTTTCGTGATATGTAGTTTTTAGTGTGTTTTCAAAACGCCTCGTGACTATTGTTTTCCTGGTGAACAGAAACAAAGATGCGATACAAAGTATGAGACTGAAAACATGTGTCAAGGGGTCCATTACATGATACGGTGCTGGTTCAATAAAAGTGATTGTTATATCAATGAATAAGGGGGGTAAGTTTCTAAAGAGACTGTGGTGCTGCGTCGGTGGGAGAGTATAGCATGTAATTTAGTGTTAACAACTGAGTTGAAAACGTAAATTGGCCACCGTAAAGAGTTTAAAGGCTGACGTCTCGAGCTATCGCTCCGACGAAGGGCTAACGCTCGAAACGTCAGCCTTTTAACTCTTTACGATCGCCAATTTACTAATTCTTCACAATCGTTAAGAGTTTTATCTCTTATGAAATCCGCAAATTCGCAGGAATTTTTGACAGTAGTTTCAGGTAGGTTAAAAAAAGTTGGTAAGATTTGTGGGTATACGTACAAAATGTTAAACAGTAGTGACTGCTTATGTCCACGTTTTTATGGTTAACCTAAAATTCATAAACCGGGAATTCCATCGATGCCTATTGCCTCCTTTCTTAATTCTCCGACTTAATGCAATTTTTGGGAGAGAGAATTTTGTCGCTTGTTATTGGGAATACTGATTACTCTGTCAAAAATTCCTGCGAATTTGCGGATTTCATAAGAGATAAAACTCATAACGTTTGTGAACAATTAGTATCCTTTAAATCGCGATGATGGCGGCTTACTTCCTGACGCCCATTTACACCCCGTCAGAAAAAAGTACAGCTAAGTAGTGAGCGTATAAAAAGAGCTCTTGTTGCAGCGTTTAGATCACCCCTGATGAAGGCACTAGACAGTAGTGTCGAAACGTTGGGTCGATGAGTTATTAGTTCTCGGTTACTTTCTTTAAATCTTTAAACCAGAGTAGCATCAAACCATGTATAATTGTCCACCTGGTTGCCACGTGAACTTTAATATATTTTGCTTTGTTATATATTTAGACTTTCCCTTAAACAATCATCTGGCAAAAACAAACTAACGTGCTATTGAATTTGGCGAGTGGGCAACAACTGTGCAATTGTTTCACCATCAGAAATCTTGGGGGGAAAAAACTAGCTGTTTCCTTAGCGACCATACATTAAGTGTATATTACAAAGGGGGTGTGTCTCTCGGCCGGTTACCATTGGGACCCAGTCAGACTCGATTCCAAACAGTTGTAATCACCGTGAATGTCGATGGTCTAAAACATGCAACAGGCCACTGCTACATGTTTTACCAAACGTTACTCACATTTCAAAAATACTGAAACATAATATTCTCTGTCTTTCGGGATCTCATTGATAGACAAGTTATCAGGCAACCGAGGACCTGGAAGAAAAGGAGAATCTTCTTAGGAATAAATACTTTGACTCAATGGCTTCCCACACAAACATAGAATCGTAATAAATGTTCGACCACACGATTCAAATGATTTCAAACTATGGTTTACAGAATTCATGAGGTTTCATACCCCCCCCCCTCCATTATAATTGTTGATTCTTTCATCACGTGTATTGCCTCTTGCGCTTTTTCGCTACGTTGGTAAGAACTTTGAACTTGTTGTTTTTCGCGACTAACTTTCTTTTTTTCAGCTCTTATTGAGAAAAACGGAATAAATTAATTACACTATGATGCTATTGTATCGAGATTATTAACCTTAGCAACGCGACCTAGCTGGTGCTTTTTTCCTTAAGTAGCTAGGCGAGAAGAACAATAGCCCAGTTTTCGCGCAGTCACTTTTTTGGTAAACATCTCGATTTGTCTTTCACGCTCCACAACTGGTTCGAAACAGAGACTGCTTGTTGCTTAGGGAAAAGAGCAATAGATGATGACTGTCACGGCCACGCCAGGGAAATAATTTTCCTTGTTATAAATGGTTCCTGCCCCAAGTATATTCTTAATTCAAAATTTTAAAAGCAAGTTAGTGCGAAATTAGTTTAACGGACCGAAAAGTATTTTCTGTTTTGGTTTTTCCTGGGGTACTTCAAAATACCACTTTTGCCTTCCGTACTTCCGTTGTATTTTATTCGAATAGTTTACGAATCTGTACAGCGTAATCTAACGTTGTAACTCGATAACGTACATTCAAATTTAAAGTCAAATAGTAACAAGGACATATTTTGCAACTGAACATGACATGAGTAATATCCAAACATGTATTGCAAACTTAAAAGTGCCGCTTCCTTTGTGCAAATTACTTTTTCATTTGAATTTCATGGATTGAAGACAACTCGATGTTCAAGGCCTTCTGACTATTTTGTTAACAAGGCATCATGGTTATAATTGCTCAAAAATCAATAGATAAGTATTGAGAAGAATTTAAGGAAATGATATTAAACAGCAAAACCTGTTGTTCCTGATGGTGTGATCTTTCTCAAGTAAGAAAAAACGTCCATTCCTTTAAAATTTCTAACTTTTCTTGCCAAGACACGGATCCTTGTTTTGTCCTCAGAGGTTGGTTTTCCGAAATAATCTTCGCCCGAGGTTAGATGCATGAATCTTTCCAATTTTTGTATGGTAGCTTGAGAAGTGATTGACGTTGTCAAGGTAGATTCTAAAATGCAACAAAAAAGATGGAAAAACATTATTAACGGAATGACTGACCTCGATACGGATATCAAACTGTGTAAGAAAAATCTGATGGTTGCTCGTGAATTGTTCAACTGATCAGGGTTTGCTGTTTAAGGTGTTTTAAAATCAACAGACTTCTTCCATTAAGAAAACGACTGATTCTAAGAGGCCAAATGCAAGTTCAAGTAAATCAACTATCAGATGAGGGATCAATGAAATTTAAAAGGGGCTGTCATGCTGTGCCATTACAGTAAGCTTTCAAGCTCTGAAAATGTGCAAGTTTCGGCCAGACCAAATATGAAATAAGAATTTGGTCGTAATCATGTTCATCCGTTAGCTAATTTAGATTGTTGGGTCTCAATTGGAGATAAAAAAAAAACTTCATATTCAAAGTTGATTGATAATTATTGTTGTTTTGTTTTTCGTTTCTTGACCAAATACTGTCATTTGAAAATATTATTCTAAACCTGTGTGTTTGTTCAGATCCATACGCAAGTAAACATATAGCGATGCGTGATTTAAGGTATCATTCATAAAGAGTGTCCTCATTTGTAATTGCTTTAATAATGCCATGATCTTTGGCAGGCTTATTCTATCTCATTCTCAACCGCATTCCTTACGCGCTATGGTGCATTTTAAGGTCAAGATGGCTGGATATTGGCTGATTTTTCTTTTTTTTGTGTGTGTGTGTTTTATAGCACCTATATATCCACTAATATCCTTTCACCTTAACCTTTAGATTGACCATTTAGTTGGACAATATAACGCATATAGAATGTAGAGGCCACTGAGTAAGAATAAAGATGCTAAGGCTTACGCCAAAACTGATTTTAAAATGTTACAAATGAGGGCGCTTTTACTGTTTGATCAACAAAAGATTTATTTATGGTATAGTAAAAGGATCTCGCCGACTACAGAGAGAATCAAGAATGAATTCTTTGTGTTCGAGCGCTTGGAAATTATTTGACAAATTAAAAAAAGGCTGATTTAATAGGTTTACACTATTGATGGGTAAACGTCAAAAACGTTGATTGAAATTAATTAGAAAGCTGAACAAGCTCCCAATTTTTTTTTTTTTTGGAGGGGGGGGGGGCGGTATTAAAGTGGGAAATCCCAAGCGGGTAAAATGGGCCTATCTTGTCCACCCGGCTAACCAGGCAGCACTCAGGATTCGCTTCATCTTACCCACGAGCGCTATTAGCAGTGTAAGATGTAGAATCATCACATGGCCGTACCGCCCCACGCGCGTAATTCCAAAGAAAACCATAATGAAAGCCGGTTCGGAAAAACCGTCCGGCCCTGTATTCACACGGCTATTTTGTATTTTCCAACAGCGTGACCTTGAACTTGAAATAAAAAAAGTGAGGAAATGAGTCGTGCTTCTCAATGAAATATGAATTTCTTTTGCTGACTTCTCGCAAAAAGGAAAGGTATTTAGAGGAGAAACTTTATATTACTTCTCCAGTTGGCGCCCTTCTTCTGTACACAAGTGCGTCCTTTTTAGGTTAAAAAAACAGTTTTGAAATTTTCAGCAGTTGGTGGTTATAGGATAAAATGCTTATTGACAAAGTTTGGTCGGGCTGGACGAGAAAATATTTGGCTTTCGGTCAATAAGTACATGATATTGCATAGTACAACCCATAGCCACTCTCTCATAATAAGGTACCCTCCCTAAATTAACTAATGGTGATCATTCCAGAGTCCACCATTTAATTTTTATGAGACTGACCTGCATTTATCCACCTTTTTTCATTCTCTCTAAAGGTTCTTAGAGTGATTCTGATCCTTTTCAATTCTTTCCCTATGATATGATATTTACGTCCTAGAAATAATTGAGAATGCAATTTCTTAGTCTTAAATTCATGCCCAACAGATTGGTCTCCAATTCGTGAAACGGTCAGTCCACCCTACATTAAAGATCTATTGTCATCAACTGCTAATTATGCTCTTCTATTCGTCCTCTGTTCGTTCCAAGAGTCAACTTCTTTACTCTTGGGGATCGTGCCTCACTGTAGAAGCCTCGCCCGTTTTAAGAACTAATTTTAGAACGATTCCTTTCAGGAAAGCTTCTACCTCAGTATTTTGTAGTACCAGAAACATATAACTTGGGTAATAGATGAGTGAATCTGGTAGTACTTAATTTAGAGCACTTTCGAATGTATTTGCAGTATTAGCACTGCGAAAATTATTTTTATTACGCCATGGCTATTACACAAACAAAGGCTATTTTAAACACATTACATCACGGAAAGATGAGGAATCAATTTCTCACCTCATAACTGATCTTAAAAGCCAGTAATCGATTATCACTCACAGCCACACATGGCCATCAGGCGAAATATGATAGAAAAAAGAGGTGCTAAATTTCCATTGCACAAGAATATCAAGCCAGCATTAAGCCCTCATCTGGATAGCCCTTTATTCGTGCGTTATATTTTTTTAAAGAAGATTTGTATTATCAGCGATAGTATCATCTTTGAAAGTCAATCAACTTATTAACTGATTAAAAGTATGATTAATTCGTTGAAAATAATCAATTGATCATATGACCTTCGGTTGGGTATGCATCTTTGTATGCTCCCAGAATGCTGTTCCAGTTCTCAATGGCATCCTTAATTGAACCGTCAACCTGGTCGAGCTTTTTAAGTCTGTCTCCTGAGGGTTTATTAACAGAATGAGAAAGATTATAAGTTTTGTACTTGCTAAAGAAATTGCGAAAGCTGGCTTAACTCACCGCAGAATCTCAGGGGTGGATCTGAGCCTCGGAATGCAAATATCTGAGACTCGATTCCTCATGGTTTACTACTACAATTGACTCTTTGTCTTACACTCGTTCCATACTCAAAGAGTTTGAGTTCCGCAAACCCAAATATGTTGACTTATAATAATTTATGTTAGCGATTTGGAAATACGTTTGCGAACAAAGAGCGCCCATCAAATAATTTATAGCTACTGAGAACGATTCCCCTCGGAAAAGAACAAAGGAATTCTAGCTCATGTAGATATAATTAATGAAAGTGATTACAAAGAGAATGTATCTCTCGGCCGGCTGCCATCAGGTCGCAAATGGAATTTACTAACCGGAAGCACCCACATCTCAGTAAATAAGATCACCTTAATCCAGGATGGATTCGAAAAAGTTGTTATTACCGTAAACGTCGATGGCTTGGAACATGCAACAGGCCACTGAACAAATGTATTTACGTGTAGACGTTCCTATTCGACTACTATTTCACAAAATGTTCCTTACGTTTCAAAATTTCTGGCAAACTACTGTCCTCTGGCATCTCCTCAATGAGCCTATCCATAAGTAACCAAGGAACTAAAAGAAAAGAAGAATCATCTTAAGAATAAATACTGACTTTGACTCAATGGCTTCACACACAAACATAGAATCATAAAAAAGGCTCGACCACACGAGTTAAATGATTTACGGAATTCATGAGGACACCCCTCCCCTCCTCCCCCTCTATTATCATTGCTGACTCCTTCATCACGTGTATTGCCTCTCACGCTTTTTCGCTGCGTTGATAAGCACTTTGAACTTTGTTGTTTTTCGAGACTAACTTTCTCTTTTCAGCTGTTGTTGAGCGAAACAGAATAAATTCATAACACTGTTGTGCGATTGTTTGGAGATCATTAACCTTAGCAACACGACCCAGCTGGTACTTTTTTTCTTAAATAGTTATGCGAGACGATCAGTAGCCCAGTTTTCGCGAGGAGTTCCAGTTCTCAATGGCACCTTTAATTAAACTGTCAACCTGGTCGAGCTTTTCAAGTCTGTCTCCTGAGGATTTATGAACAGAAAGAGAAAGATGATTGGTTTTTAACTCGGTAAAAAACTCGAGAAAGAAATCTAACAAATCTAAGTTTCCAACCACTTCATGGCCATACGCACAGCAGAGTCTCAGTGGTGGATCTGAGCCTCGGAATGCAAATATCTGAGACTCGATTCCTCATAGTGTAGTACACTTGATTCTTTGTCCCACACGTGTGACAAAACGAAAAAACCATTTCTCTATTATTTTTGTTCTTAAACACATTCCTCAATTCATGCACCTGGCTTAATTGATGCAAAAGTATTTATTTGTCACGTTTATAAAGACAAGACCCCGGCTATTTTGTGATTCCGAGGGAGAGGCATCACCTAGGTATACCATAGTTCACTGAGGAACTCAGGGTCTCTAAGCCCAGGCTGAATTAATGGAAGAATATTGCCCATGTGGAAGAGGCAGTGTTACCCTAATACGTTGCTGGCCATGATAAGCTTTCACTCTGGATCCAGAGGATGCTAAGAGCCTTGCTTTCCTTCAAATTTGGTTTGGCGTTAGTAGGGAAGAAGTGACATCATAGGTTACGATACTGTGACACTTGTTGTCACATGCGTCTCTTTTGACTTTGTCCTTCGTGTTCGAGTGATTGTTGGAGGATGTACTTTCATAACTGGGCCACAGTTTTGCTAGAAAGTCTTTACACCCAACCACTATGAAATTACAAGGCCAGTTATTTAACGATTCTAGCATTTCCCCAAGTAACCAACAAGACTATTGACACGAAAGCAAGGTTTCTACGACTGGGGTATCTGCCATTAACATTTATGGTTACATCACAATTGACTTGCTAAGCCGAGTGGGAATGACATTCAATAGTAAGAACTCGACGACACTCGGCAACTCATACCTATTCTATTAAGAATTATCATTCGGTGGAGACTAACTATCACTTTTACCTTCGCCAAATTCATATTCAGAAGTGGCTCCACTCCAGGCCCCAGATCCGCTATCACTCGGTGGTGTGATATCACTAAAGGCCTCCCAGAGACTTTCTTCTACACTCACTTTTGTCCCAAATGGTAAAAACATTCCCTCTCGAAAAGGATCTTTTGAAGTCATTGTGGTCACTGAGATTTGAAGTCAAAAATGTAATATAGGGCTGAATGAAGCGGTGCGTTCTACATCATTTGCAAAAGAGCATTGAGACATTGAGCATTGTATTTTACTTGGATAATCATCAAGCTCTCGAAAATAGATCATATGCTAATAAGAAATAACCCACAAGGTAAGTGAAACTTGATTTACCTGGAAATTACATTTTTGAGCACTACTCAAAGTTGGTTTTCAAATGAGTTTTAGAAACAGTGATATCGACAAGTTTCAACTCTTTCTATATCACAGGGTTGTTTCGCGGACGAGTTGCGGATGCCATTCGGATACTTAATTCAAGAAGCTGTTGCTACATAAAGAGAAAAAAACAATCCGTTGGACATTTTTATTCACTATGAGCAACTACTCTTTCCCAGCTCAATCTGTCAGTCGACCAAACAAACACAAAAAGTGATTTTGTGATTCACAGGTATTTTTTAAACCCAGGCATACCAAGTACACAATTTCGATTCCTGCTACTGAGAACAATTCCCCTCGGAAAAGAACAAAGGAATTCTAGCTCATGCAGATATAATCAATGATAGTGATTACAAAGAGAATGTATCTCTCGGCCGGTTGCCATCAGGTTGCAAATGGTATTTCCTAACCGGAAGCACCCACATCTTAGTAAATTAGATAGCCTTAATCTTGGATGGATTCGAAATTAATGTTCAATTACCGTGAACATTGCTGGCCTGGAACATGCAACAGGCCACCAAACAAATGTATTTACATGTTGGCGCTCCTATTAGACGACTATTTCACAAAACTTTACTTACGTTTCAAATTTTCTGTCAAATTACTGTCCTCTGGCATCTCCTCGATGAGCATATCCTCAACTAACCAAGGGCCTGAAAGAAAAGAAGAATCGTCTTAGGAATAAATATTGACTTTGACTCGATGGCTTCACACACAAACATAGAATCGTAAAAAAGGCTCGACCACACATTTTTTCGAGACAGTTCTTACACCCAACAAGACTATTAACACGAAAGCAAGGTTTCTAAGACCGGACTATCTGACATCAACATTTATGGTTACATCACAATTGACTCGCGAAGCCGAGTGGGAAAGACCTTCAATGGTAAGAACTCAACAAGACTCAGAAACTCATACCGATTCTATTAAGAATTATCATTCGGTGTACACTAACTATCACTTTTACCCTCGTCAAATCCATATTCAGAAGTGGCTCTACTCCAGGTCCCAGCTCCGCTATCACTCGATGGTGTGATTTCACTGAAGATCTCCCAAAGATTTTCTTCTACACGCACTTTTCTCTCAAGAGGAAAAAACTTCCTCTCTGGAAAAGGATCTTTGGTATTCGATGTGGTCATGTTTCGTTTTTTCAGAAGGTCTGAATCAGAACTTGCTCGATCTTTTAATCCGCTTTTTTCTTCAAGTTTAATCTCTAAAATTTACAGTAAAAATCAAATAGAATGCTGAAGAAGCGTTGGATGATCATCAAGCTTTCGGAAATAAATCATATGCTAGTGAGAAATAACCCACAAGGTAGGTGAAACTTAAGAGCGAATGTTACCAATGGTCAAACATTTAGCGGCAACAGCTGAAAAATCAATTTCGCTTATATCTCAAAGTTTAGTAGGTCTCAAAGGGAAATAAGTCACAGAATACTTCGTTTTTCTGAATATCGTTTTATTTTCAAGAAAATCGATAATAACTGAATTCCGCTAAAGTGCCACTGTAGAAGCTAAAAATTTAAGGCGAATCTCGGAGCGTCGCGTCACGTCACAAATTGAAAAAACCTGAACGCATAAAAATCATCCAATCGCACATGGGTTTGAAGTATACCGCGGTTTGTTTCTCTTTAAGGCCTACTTAACTTGAGAATATTAGCCGAATTGATTTTTAGGTTGTTGCCGCCATATTTTGAAAATGTTCGATTTTTAGCCACATTCGCTCTTAAGTTGTCTGGAAATTACATTTATGAGCACTACTCAAAGTTGCTTTTAGAATGAGTTTTAGAAACAATAATATCGACCCGTTTCAAGTGAACGCTTTTCATATCACTGGGCTGTTTTAACGGAGGAGTTGCGTATGTCATTCGGATAATCAGTTCGAGAACCTGTTGCTACGTGAAGAGGAAGAACAACCCGTTGGACATTTTTATCGATTATGAGCAACTACTCTTTCCCAGCTCACTCTGTCAGTCGACCAAACATACACAAAAATCATGTTGCGATTCAAAGGTATTCTTTAGACCCGCGCGACAGATCAGGCCGAGAAAGACGAAATATGCCAAGTCTACAATTTCAAGTTCTGCATAGTGGATCTTTCCGCAAACTCAATTATCTGGACTTAAACAATTTATGTTAGCCATAAGGAAGTACGTTTGCGAACAAAGAGCGCCTATCAAATAATTTGAAGATATTGAGATCCTTTCTCCTCCGAATTCAAGCTCATGTAGAGATAATCAACCTCTACACAACGGTGATAACGCATAGTGCATGATGTCTTGGAGAAGAAACGAAAAAACTAAATGCATATAATTTTTCTGAAAACTCACCTGGGTTAACTGTCTATTTGGCCTTTGTTAACACGTAAATTAGTCTCTTCATTCGCGCCAAAATTGAATGATATTTTAATCGTATACGGCTGTTATCTCATGAAAGGTAAGTTTAAATCAGGCCTGAAACATCAGCTAGAGAATAAAGCTGGAGGGTTATATATGAGCTGGTGTATATTTAGTCTCGTGGCGTGTTCCAATAAATCGCATACGAGGAAAAAATATTAGATGAATCGTAACGCAACAACGTTTAAAGAAAATTACATCACATCTTCTAAATGCCGTGATTCTTACCGTTATAAGATACAACAAGAGACGTTTTTAATTCACCTTGCACAAGGAGTCATGCATAATGGCGGGACTATTTCAGGTGTAGTTACCTTCTTTTCCTGATATCATCAAATCGAAGATAGCATTTCTGTATTCATCTTCGTCGATATACACAGTCAATGTCACTTCACCACCTGCCAGCTGCTTTATTTCCTCAGTAACAAGGAACTCTTGTAAATTTTTTTGTAGCGTTGCGTCTTGATAACTTTGCCATAGTGCGTCAAGAGCGGAAATATTTTCTGCTTGAAGCGTAAATCGGATTGATCCTTCACTAATTGCACGTAAGCAATTTCCAAATGGAAGAACAGCTTCTTTGAAAGCATTGACAAATGCTTCCATACTAGGACTCCTGCGAAGGACCATCCATGTAGTGACGACCACAGCACCACCAGTAACATTGCGGAAAGTACAGAGAGGTGTGACAACTGTAAAAAGTGTGGAAATCATAGGGTATTTTTTAGCCGCTTGTGGAGTCTACCGAAATAGCGGGGCGAGGCAAAGAAACAAACGGTAGTGGAGAGTTGGCTAAGGAGAGCACTCCTTCACAGACTCCTCACGTAATTCGCTTTCTTACTTCTTTGTTTATTTCCAGCAACTGAGAGCCTATCAAAGACTAGATTTGAGTGAATTGCTATTTTCGAAATTTATGTTATTGAGAGAGAGACGATAAGGAAGCTTAAGTATAAAGAGAAGTAGATAGACTATAAATATAAAATGTTCTTTTTCGGTCACAGAAAAAAAAACAGGTCTGTAATGCTTACTTGTGTGGGATTTCAGTCAAATAAATGTTGATGTGGTATGATTAGCTTTACAGTGAGTGTAATACAATTTGTCATGTTATAGTAATAAATGCCGAGTAAAGATTCTGTAGAATCCCAAGCTTCCGAAGACAAAACGCTTACGGGAGAAACATCTTTGGACTTCTAATTTCGAGGAAATTAGGGGTGCTTACCATTTGTCAAAATAAACCAGTTGGGATGATTGGTGAATAATGGTAACAGTTTTTCCAAAATCAGTAAACCAGCCGAACGAGATGGCGCTTACCATTTGGAATTGTTCTCAGCTGATGAGAGACTAGAAACTGGAGACCAGCAAATGGTACGGACATTTCCGCTGTTCCGTTCGGACCGGAAAAAGAGGACTATCTCTGGAGGTACTCTACAATTTCCGAATGGATTTTCCGGAAAATTAGGGTGCTAACCATTTAGCCAAAAAAAATCCGGAAATTTCGGTCCAAGGTCAAATGGAACGGATTTTTTTTTTTGAAAAATCCGTTCGGAAATTGTATACTTCCCCCAGAGGTAGTCCTCTTTTTCTGTTCGGAACGGAACGGCGGAAATTTCCTTACCATTTGCTAAACTTTCCAGTTTCCATTCTCTTATCAGCCGAAAACAATTGCGGGAAATCGAACTGCAAATGGTAAGCGCTATCTCGTTCGGTTGGTTTGCTGATTTTGGAAAAACCCTTACCATTATTCAACAGTCGTCCCAACTGGTTTATTCTGACAAATGGTAAGCACCCTTACTGTTCCATTTGATTTTCGACCGAAATTTCCAGATTTTTTTGGTAAATGGTAAGCACCCTAGCTCTCTTAGGGTACGGTTACACGGGGCTTTTTTTTATCGTGATAAGTGACCCTTTTACAATGTGAAACTGCACTTAGTGAGTGTTACCAGTAATTCTCCGAGGTAAATTTCACGGGTAAATATTTATGGATACGCCAAAAAATTAAACAAAGCGCCCATGACATTAAAGGTGGTGGTGTTTTGATGTTCAAGGTATAAGGGCCAATCACGATTCTCCATTGAAAACTCATACGTAACTACAAAGGGAAAATGGTTTTCCTTCGTGACATTTCTTTTTAAGGTTAGCAAAATCAGAAATCCAGTGTAGCCGTTGGTTGACAAGGGATACTAAAACTTAAATATGATACAGTTTGGGATAATCTAGCATGGGAAATGCCACTAACTGTGGCTTGTGTATTACCCAGCCAGCAGACAAAGCTGGACATGGCCTCAAATTATCATGGGAAAGGAGGGGTCGGTGATTAACAGAGTTTAGAGTCATTGAAGTAAACATTTTGTAGGTTAGGGCTTGTCGCGCATTACAATTGGGTGCATTTGAGCATCTAAGGTTCTCAGCTACCAAATCCATTGCACGGGTAACTTCCAAAATTTAGTAGAGTCAACGCGCCTCAGGCATGAACTTCAGAGACCCATGAAATATTTGCTTTCGACACTGAAAAGGTAAATGCCGTCTATTTTTACTCATTAGCAGAAATATTGGAATCAGTCGCTAGTAGCAGAGTAGAATTTGTTTACGATAAACCTGGATAAACCAGCAGGCAACTGCAAATGTCACTAAAAGTATTCTTGCTTCCAGCTTAGAACACTGTACGTAAACTATACTATTACAAATTAGCTTTTCTGTTTTAACTTGACCAGTAAATGTGAAAAATTTTCGCAGGAAGTTTGAAGGCGTTAGTTTTGCGAATGTACAACAAATCGTAGTTACGAGAGGGAACCTCAAATTGCTAATCGTAAATCCACAGGATAACACTGGATCTTGTCATTATTTTACATTTGTCCGTAAAACTTCGGTTGTTGGTAGCAATAAAGGGGTGTTGAAAGCAATGAGATAATTCTAGTATAAATTCAGTTGCAAACTGCGTGTCGCGACACTGTTCACTAGAATTTCATTTTCTGCGCAAATTTTGATGGGATTTTTATAAGATCGACGCAATTTTTGACATACTTTCAATACGCAATTGCAGACAGTTCTGTCTGAGAAATGAAATTTTGTACGATTGTTCCTTATCCATCCAAGAATTTCTTACATGTAAAAACAGTAATCGAATGTTTACGCACTAAAATAAATACCCAGCAGTGCATGGCTCAAAATTAGGTCTAAAGACCTAATTACTACCTCCGAATCTCCAAAACTAAGAACTACGACAAATCCAGAGATATCTAAACATAAATTGACAGTTTTGCTCTGTGAAAGCTCACAATAATTGTAAGTTGAAGGGTTGTAAAACGTATTAAGTAACATTTTCATACTTAACTCGTTTTGTGTGAGAGTAACAAAAACTCGAATTTATTTCGAAGGGTTTACATGTACTTAACTCAACTTTTCCTCTTTTATTATTCTATTGGTTAAAAATTGCCTACATAGCCTTGCTGCGAAACGCAACATTGGTGACAACTATTACAAAATAAAGTGAAAACTAACCAGAGTTTTCCTAGGACAGCACTTTAACAAATAGTTGACAAGTCTAGACCCAGCAATTTCCATGTTTATTTTGTAGAAATTGAGCAAATTTATATGTTGGTTCCCATCTTTACATCTAACTTTCTGGTTAGGGTGACAATGTTGGTCTTAAGTATGCAATAGCCACACAATGACTCTTTACGTTACGGTTTTTACTGTCTAAGGTTTCAGGTTCCATACAATTTGGCTTTGTCACTCAGGAAAATAAATTAACAAACTCTTTTACCTCCAATTAATCTTTCTCCAATGTTTATTCCACCAACAAGAACAGAAGCGGCCTGAGCTGGAACGTTTAATAAATCATTATTTAATCAATAATTAATCAGGGAGAGAAATCGTGAACATTGATCTATGAAATACTTCTCATTACAGACTTTTCATGTATCTGGCTTAGATTTACGATCAGCAGGGTCATCTAATCACTGGTGAATTAACTAGTTAACCCCTGATGATCACTGCAGTATCGCTGCGGAATAAAACATCTGGCCCATGAATTAAGGAAATAATCGCAAACTTGGTAAGCCCTTGATTGTTAACTAAATTCCCCTAATCAGTGCCACAGCAAATGTATTATAACAGAATGGAGAATATCTAAGCTCATTTTAATGTCATGGTAAAGGATGAACTGATCAGCAGTGAGGTAAAACCTCACTCCTTGCACCTGCTTCAAGGAATAGAAGCAACTAAAAAGCTTTTTCCGACTCAACCACTACAGCAAATACAGCGGTCATATACCAGCTTCTCGCCGTTCTTTAAGAGAACACAAACGAGGTCCTGGGAACGAAATTAATGTTTATTCGCCCGCCATATTGTCTAAACATTTCTTCCCAGCACTCTATCGATTCCTTCAAGAGGGTGCTACCTAATTGTACCATCAGTAAAATCAAAGATAAATTGATAAAAAAGGTTCGCACGTCTACGCACGCTATGAGCCTATAATTAAGCAAAAACCTTTGTGAAATATCTGGAATATCTCGCCTCGCAACTGGCAACGTAGCCATTACATTTTGGCTGGTCGTCTAAACTTGGTTTTCATCCTTCTAGGCAAGTCAATGTGGCTACTTACTCGGATTGACGATATATTCCTGCAAGTTATCTTCGTCAGCTTAGTTTCTAATTTTACAGTTCTCATTACATTCTCCGACAATCGGTTGAACTGATATTAAACTGAGGTCTGGCAATTAACATAACACTAAGTATCCCAAAATTCAATTGACTAAGTTCGATTATAAGGATTAAACGTTTGGTCGAGGAACTGTTTCGAAAAGAAGGAATTCAGTTAGAAACTATCGCTTACCTCGTGCTCTTAGTTTGTAGTCCTCCCACTCTTTCCTTTTCCTCTCGGCATCGTCTTCTTGTTTTCTTTTCTCATTGAAGTCATCCACAAGTCGGCACAACTCTGGTTTCTCCACTTCAGTTGCTAGATTTCTCAGGATATTAAGGTTTCCTATCCCCAGATTATTCTGTTTTTCTAATTCTGTGAACAATGCATTGACATTTCCAATGTGTTCCTCTCTGTCATGAGCTATCAGATTTTGTCTTTTGCAGATTAAAATAAGTCGTTGCAGTTCATTGGACTCGTCGAGTGCACAACTTATCTTCTCCAGAAACTGTTTGTAGTCCTTTCTCTTAATTTCAAATTCGTCCACCATTCGAAGAAGATCCCATTTTCTCATCCCTTTTAGGAGATCCTTCAATATATGAAAACGATCAATTCCAAGAAGACTCCTCTCTTCCAGTTTGGTGAGAAACGAATTAACGTCTGTGATCTCGTCTTCTGAATTACAACTGGTAAGATCTTTGTAAGTAAGTATCAACAACTCACTTTCAAATTCCCAATTAATTTCCTTGGTACACTGATGCTTTAGCTTACAGTATTCGACAACAGACATGGCTGTTAGAAGGGGGGAAAATTAATAAGTCTGGCAAAAATCAATGATTATCAAGAATCAAGACACGCTTTGCTCGTCGACACATTTGGACTGATATCCGCGGCTGCCTTCAGGGTCACGCATAACGTAGGGTTTTGTAAATTGATTCGATAGTAACACAATCTTCTACAAGTTTGCAATATACCTTAAGGCAGGGGCCTAAAATTTTATCAGATTCTTTTCATCCATTTACGTCAAATCATGAAAATAATATTTTAATATTTTTTTTTTATTTGCTCAGTTATAAATTTGTACCTATTCATATTTACTTGCCCAATAACATTGTATCACGTAAAAGAGGAACTGCCGCCGTTGTCGTCATATGCAAAGTTAAATTTAAATTGTCATGCGAGCATTTGAAGACAACATGTATAATGTCGAAACACGTTTTGTAAACCTATTTTCCGAAATTCGGATCTCCTTTTAGCACATAACTCCAGCGGTGGCCACAACATCCTATCTTTTTTTCCATCCTCAGCTGTACATTTTCATGGAAGTGTGTATTTTTAGAAGAAAAGTCTTCTCGGTTGCTCTTCTTTGACTGCTAATCGTTGCAATGGCCCTTTCAGGTTTTTTCGTTTTCTTTTTCTCATTAAAATGGATCAGTTAGCCAAACTCCATCGAAGCAAGAGGCTCGGTAAAATTGGTAAAATAGCTTGAAGTTTGAGGAATAAACGTTGAAGAGATAAAGAAATATCACCAGTGACCCTAACCAATACGCAGACTGTTAGTTTAGCACTTAAGTCCAGTGTTGACCATGTTTCTTCTTTTCATTCTCAGCTGCATTTTTTGTGTCCTTCTGAGAGAAATAGTCTGATTGGTTTCTTTACTTTGACTACTAATGGGGCAATGCACCCTTTCACATTATTTTGACCAATAAAAGGTACCAGACAATCGAAAGCCATCGAACCAACTGGCACGAGGTCAGTAAAATGGGTAAAATATCCACGCAAGTGGTATAAACAGCGTTGTGGAGATAAAAGTAATCACAGAAAAAGATCACCAAGGCCCCAACCACTGTAACAGGAACCTCTTCCTCGCAGTGAAAAAGGATGTTTTGTCAACAGAAGCGAAATAATATTGTTCCTCGAGTTAGGACTACCTTAAATTTTGCCAATCAATTATTAACCTTTTACACCCCAACATTGCTATGGCATATTCTTCTGTCTATGCTGTTCTCTAAACATTTTCCGAGGATCTAACAAGGATAATTTTTTAACAATCAATAGCTTCTTTAGTTGGTGTTCGTTTCCTTTATTCTCGTGACCTTAATGTTTGACTTTATTTTCAGGAGAAAGTAGATGCCGGTCAGTCTTAAGGGTCAAAGGGTTAAGAAAGACTTCTACCCGGACGAGAAGAAAACAAGACCCTAAAGTCGCGACATTCTTCGGACGCTTAAACAACAGGGGGGAAGGGGAAGGGAGTTCCTCGCTATTGAGTTCAGCAAACAAGCCTCCACTGGTAAAGCAAATGTCCATGAAACTGATGAAAATGTCTTGTATCACGAAGAATCGCTAGAAAAAATGGGAAACAAGATCTAAAATATATCAAAAGTAGAAGCAAATATAAGCAAAAAGAATGTTTGAATTTTCTGTTAGCCACCACTTTGGATCGTAGGAAGTTCTACGGTTGCTAACATTATCTTCAAACAAGAACCATGTTCTTATTCAGGAAATTCTTGAGTTTGCGGGAGTCTCAACTGGATTATACAGATTATAGTCCATAAAGTTTAAACGATCCATTGTGGCAATAACCTGCGGTGCAAGCTTCCATGCAGGGCAAGATCTATGTAACCGGCCAATTTGTTTGGTTTAGAGTAAGAGTAGAAGGCAGGAGATTGCCCCACCCCCTTCCCTCTCCTTCCTTTTGACCATCGATCACCCCCTTAGTAAAAGATTTTCTCTCTTCCTAGACTTCTACTGCTATAAAATTTTAAAAATGGCAGCTTGCATTATAATTTTCACTAATTATAAGAAAATACTGACCACTGCCCCGGCAAAACTAAGCCTGCTCTGCAGGATATTTAAGCAGCGCACACAAAGTTCTAATTTGAAAGCAGATAGCTGTGACAGTTTTCTCTCAAACTAAATAATTCATTCTCATTTATGCTAACAACTTTGAACTTCAAAGTCCACTTTTGTTGATTTAACAATGCTGTGAGGGTTCCTTAACCCTACAACTCCTCAGAGTGACGAAGATCTGATTTCTCCTTGTAGCAACACAACTGAATCAATCATGAAGGAATTATCAAAACTAAAGAAGCTCACGATTGAAATACAACTTCTCCTTCCCAATGCCTTAAAAAATATACAAGGAGCAGTATGGAGAAACTACGTCTTGATGTGAAGGTGCAAAGGATTAAGACATCAAAGGGTAACTAAACATACATCTGTAAAATTTTTAGACTTTGCAGTGATACATCTTCATCAGTTTTCAACATATTACTTTACAAGAAGGCCCTCTGAATATAATTTTATGGCACTAATCTCTCCAGCAATGTCATTAGAATTCTGCCAACATAGGCAAAAATTATAAAGTTCTGTCGTTAGACATAAAAATGAAATGAGTACATGATGAAGAGAAGAGTTTGTTCAGAGCTTTTTCCCAACAAGATATATTTATTCTTAACCAATCTTTGTCTATGAAAGATGTCTGAATTGGGCCATACAAAGATTAATATTAATAAAATTCTCAGGTCATTAACTTCAGATTGATTTTTGGTTACAAGGTTTTTAAACCCTGATTGTACTCTATGAAGGATCACATGCTTTATCTAGTACCAATATCCAGCTTAACATGATTTCTATCTCTCATGATTCCTTTGCAATTAAAATGTTTTCAAATATTTTGTGTTATTAAAAATTTAATTCTATAAAACTGCTCAACATTTTCTCTATTCATGACAGGCTCACACCCTCATTGGCACAAATTTATGTTTAAGTGCTCTTCTTGTCCAAGGTAACCACATCCCGGCTTTCTGGTGTTCAAGGTATCATGAGAGCAAATACTGGTATAAAGCCCTTAAAAACATTTTTTACAAAACCTCTGTCAAAAGTGCATACAATGCATGGTTACACTCATCATGAGAAACAATGGTCAATCCCTCCTTTAGGTGATGTCCATTGTTTTTCACTTGCACAACTGACTTTGCTGAAAAGCAGGAACTACCTGTAGTCTATTATCCTAAAAAAATGGAAAGAAACTTGATGAAAACCAACATGAAAAAGCAGTTCCATATCTTAAGAATGGACTACACCTAGATAAGAACAAGTTGAGTGCTAGACTGTGTATAACTGTTTCTTGTAGCTAAAACATTTTTAACAAGGCAAGTTCTTTCAAGGATACCAGGTCAGAAAGTAATCTTCCATTTTTATCTTTCACGTTTACAAGACTGAAATCCAACTCAACAAACAATCTTACAACTTCTTTGTGCAACTTTTCAGCAGCCTGCAATTTAGGCAAAAGAAATAATTAATTTTAGTACTGTAAGCTCCTACATTGAGAGTTTGATTCCCTAACCAGCTATTTTGTTTAATTGGGTACAAAGTGGAGTCCTACTTATCACAAATCTTTAATAGACCATGTATGGAGAGCAAGGCAAGTTGAGGTATTATAAAGTTGACTCCAAAGTACAACCCACACTCCCTGACAGAGTAAGTTGGGACACTTCTCCTTGAAAACGTTCAAGATGTTCTCTCTCCCTGCTCCCCTTTCAAATGTTGTTAGTTGCCAATGCCTCTATGCTATCTTAAAACCAACATTAAGAGGGAGTGCATGTCCCAACAAAGCATCTGAGAGTGTGAGTCCTTTGCTGTTTGAGGAGGTAGAGTAAGAAGATGTTGAGTATGCCTTTAATAATAGAGAGGCTGCATTATTGGACTGAGTCCTGATAGAGATGATGCTGATGAAAATAATGCATTAACTTTTTTATGGTGCATTCTCCATAATGATAGGTGCTCTAATGGGCTTTACAACACTTTGCAGGGGACTATGGCCCGACTGCATTGAATATTTTACATTGGAGGGAAATTTTTGCAGGTGCCCCCAATTTAGGAATATTTAGACACAAGGTCAGACCACATCACTGGGAGCTATGTTCCCTATTCTTTGTGTGAAATGCATGGGTTCTTTTACATCCCCTGCTAACTATTTGATAGAAGATGTACTTTATCGTCCAAGAAGAATACAATGTCTAATCATTTGTAGTTGTCAGAGCAAAGGCAGCACATACTCCTCAGTTGTTTTAAGACCCTGAGTGTTGGTCCAGTCTAGGGCTCAAACCCATGACCTTCTTCAGGGCAGTCCACTGCTCTACAACCTGATGAGAGTCTGGATTTTCTTTGCTTACAATTTTTACAATTTTTTTTTCAGTACTAGTACTCAAGAAATTTTAGAGATTGACTTGCTCTCTTTAGCTGAGGATTACATCACATCCTCTTTGACCGCCCAGCACACTTGAGATCAATTACAGCAACACTAAACGTAACTTGATGTCAGTTGACTTTTGTTTGGTTAGGGGAGGGGTAGGTGCCTAGTTGCTCAGATACTGACATTGACCCCACACTTGCAACTAGAACCAGCTAGTCTCCTCTGGGGGGGAATGTGTAATATCTTCATGATGGTAATGAAAAGACAAAGCAATATAAAAAACTGTTTTTTTCTGGTAATTAACAGAGTATCCTTGCTGAAAAAGAGAAAAAAACTATTCTCAACATCCTGGAAAAATATTGTTAATCCTTTAACTCCAAGACAGAATTTCTCCATATCAATACAATATCAATCAGAAAAGTGATGACAGTAAAGAAAACCATTATATAGGGGATCATTAGTTGATCCAATACCAACTTCTCCAAACTAACATAATAAGTATTTTATGACAGAGAGTGAGGAGAATGATCACTAACAAGATCTTGGGAGTGAAAAGGTTAACAAGATTTCTTATATATAATATAATAATTGTTCTATCACCATTGAGCAAAACATACATGCCTACTTTGCATGGATATACCGTAAACATCCATGTATAAGCCGCATCCGAAGATAAGCCGCTCTCCCGATTTGGAAGCGCAGAATTTGGAAGCGCAGAATTTGGAAAAAAATAAAAACAATAAAGTTTGAAGTTTCAGTAGAGTTGTATTGCTACAAACAATCAAGGTTTCAAAACACTGACATAGAAGTTGTGGCTATCTTTCACATTTATCAAGTCTAAAGAAAGTGAAACAGAAAAGAAAAAAAAACAAGTGCTCAGTAACCAAGCTTTAAATGTTGGGAGTAGTCTGGTAGTGTGTAAAGATGTTTGGAAACCCGCAATAGGTGAAAAACTTTATGCAGAACAAGAGCCTGATAATGCAGTCGACAAATTTGCCATGAAAGTTGTTTGAGTAAAGCAAAAATTAATCACTTGAAAGAACTCTTGGAGAGCAAGATTCGCTGATAAACACTTGAAGACACAAATGGCTCCTTTAGGAGTTTTATGAATATTAATTAGGTTTTTGAGAACTCCAAACACAGATGTATCCACGGATAAGCCGCACCCTTGATTTTTGGCTTCAATTTTGTTAAAAAAAGTGCGGCTTATATGTAGATGTTTACAGTATTGAGACTCATTTTTAAATTATTTAGATCTAGGTCCATTGTTTTGTAGTTTTCCTTTGTTCAAGAATCACTGACAATAATTTTTCTGAAACAAAGGGAACACTATATCGAACCACTTTGACCTACATTCATTTCAAACCACAAAAGTTTCATTATTACCTTGTGAAAAGGGATTTGTCCATCACTATCACAAAGTCTTGGATCAGCACCATATTTGATAAGTAGGTTTATCACTGACATGTGACCAGAGTATGCTGCCCTGTGTGGCGATGATACTTTGCCTGACCTTGTCTGGGCATTCACATCTCCTCCTTGTTTCAGGAGCAACTGACACACCTCTTCATGGCCACTGCAGCTAGCATAATGCTGTGAAGGAAAAAAGATACAGGTAGATAACCCATACATCACATTGATAATTCTTTGCCAAACTCCTATTTGTTTTCAAGGTCCAATGACTTTGGTTTGAGTAAAAAAAATACTGTTATGATTTCCTTTACAAAAGACAATCAAAACAACTGGTAAGTTGTAAACTGCACAAGTGACCCATGTTTCTCAAACTTTCCCACGTGGAAATGAAGACCACTCTCTGCTCTGCTTCTGACATTGAGCTTCATAACTGAGTTGGTAGAAACAGCCAAGTAGCATAAGGCAGACAAGTTACAATTTGTCCAGCCTTTTCTCTGCTATTTTTTTCACTGTAGCTCACCTGTGAGAATCAATTGCAAACTTCTATCTCACAATTAGATTGGGCAGGTGCAGTTGCTGGGGGTAGGTAAGTAGGAAATACTGTGAGAGCCCCATTCATGAGACACCCTCGGGAACAGAACAAGTGTCCCCTGTATAGAGGTGGGGTTGGGATTTGTCAATAACCAACTACCGAAAACAACATCGTTTTCTATTATTATTATGGCGTGGGTCGTCCCGAAAGGGGGAGCAGTGGGCTCTTGAAGCTTGGAATTGATCGGCGCTTAAGGAAATGATTTACCCACGCTGTATATCCCGAGCCATTCCTTGAATTAGGGTCTGTTCCCTTGTCCAACAATTCCCTAAGCTGCGCTGGATGGGGACGTAAACAGAGTTACCAGATTCCTCTCTCAAAGTCCATTTCAGAGAGAGACTGAGCATAAGTTGATGGTGTTGATGAACAACCACATTTTCCTAAGCAGTTGACATGATTAGAGAGATCTTCCATGGTAAAGAATAAGAATTAAGACATATTCAAGACGGAAGTGTTTTGAATTAGATTTAACAAAGACTCCACTACCTCAAATCAGATCGTATAGGCGACAAATCACGTTCTTCGTTCGTTCTTGGTCACTTACATAACATGGATCGCCATGTTGTCTTGCCTCCTAGGCTATGTAAAGTGACATGGATAGTGACTCATAAGATTGCGACAAAGATTTGTATCACGCAAAAGGACTTAGCTAATGAATTCGATAATGGTACGCTTAAAATTTTTCAAAGAAAAATATGAATCATCGTTTCTTCAAAATGAGCCAAATGTGTTGTGAAACGAAAAAGATACGTTTTGAGAGAGTTATTACATGACGCCGAAACGTCGACCGCGTGGGCCCTGGAATTACAAGCTCGTCACCATTTTCCTATTGCTATCTAGGTCACTTCGTGCTCGTATCATTGCGGATTTTGCAAGTTTTAAATTATAATAATGTCAAGATATGGAGAGACTTGTGTCTTAAATCGATACCGTAGTCTATACGTCCACCAAAACATTTACCATACACGTTCTGGATCTCGCTCAAAATCAAGAAATCGTAGTCGAAGTAGAGAGAGAAGCCAAAGCAGAGAGCGCTATCATTCAAACATGTAAGTAATAATTTTACTTCAACTGAATCGATAAGACGTTATCATTCAATTTAAAATAAGGGCTATGTAGCTGATTGAATGCTACTCGTTTTAAACTAAAGCTAATTGCGAAGTTTACATTCAACCGAATATGATAATTAATTTTTAGAATGTAATGCCCTGATTGAATAATGCTGACACACCAAAATTTCGTGAGGAAAATTCGCTTCGGATTGATTCACATTGCTTAAAATCTTGCCAAAATCTTATCCTTCTTTGACTCTAATCAACCAACACATTTAGTTTTATTGACAATTAAAACAATTTAATGCATTAAAAACTTTAAAAACACTAGTAGAAGTAAGATGTGACATGACCAGAAATGAATCTTTAATCTGTCAGATCTGTTGGCTGACGCATAGGAAGGTGTACATTATTCAAATCTATTATGCTTTAACTATAGGCATCATTGGAGAAAAAGGAAACCAACACCAGAGAGTTTCATGGATAGCTGGGTTGCATATCTCAATATACTCATATTTCATGAGAATACAATCATTTCCTCATTTAGTTGACTGAGTAAACAAACTACAAAGAAGATAATAAATTTTAAGCACTGTAATGAATTAAGTAAGTATATATATTTTTTCTCATGTCATAAGCATGGTACAAGTAAAGAAAAGTGAGTCCCAATATTGATGTGGAATATTATGGCAGACCTTTGGATTCCATGCTCCTCTGAGTTAAAGAGAATCCCATACTTCTCTGTATCCCCATGGCAATGAATCCAGAGGTCGGGGATTCAACTCATCATAAGCCATAACACTTATTCCTCTGTTTTACTGAGCTAATGAGAACTGCAGTTTACCTTTGGGAGAATTTTCTGTAGCTCAGTGATAGAGCATCAGAGTATGGAATTCCATGGTGTGGTATTCAGTTTTGTCCTGTGCTCGTGAATAGATGAATAACATCTTTAGAAAATTTCTTACATCTTTATACACCAGTGCATCACAAAAATGCCTAACCAACGTTCAGTCTGTGGAGTACATGAGTACCAATTGCATAGTAGTTGGTCGTGTTCCCTGTGGATTCACTTTTAAGGTGAATTTAACAATGTCTGTTTCAAAAAATACATTAAAAAAGATAGGTCACCATGCTTGTATAGGATATATAATGTGCCAAACTTACCCCATTTATGCCTGTACTGGCAAAAATCACTCTCATTATTTCATTGGTCCACAATACATTTTGCTGCAACTGGAAGCAAGGGTTTTTAAAGTAACACTTTAAAATAACTTGATAGAAAGAAAGATTTGAGCAAATGGAACAACTAATAGAAGATTTGTGGGAAAATTGCAGAAATTTAAGGGACATCGACTCAAATTATTCCTTGAGTTGTACCTTTCAAGGTTGTAGTTTGCATCCTTGAGTTACGGCTTTGTGCATGCTTTCAGCTTTACCTTTTTTCCCCTTCAAAGAAGTTTTAATTTCCCCAATTTAAAGGGAATAAATTGCTCACCAAAATTATGCAAAACAAATAGATTACAGTGCTCTTTCAAGAATCAGAGACCATCATACCTCTTTACCCAGTCCATGGATTGAAAAACAATACTGTGTTCTCAAAATGCACTTGCATTCATTCCCCTAATTATGTGATTTTTATGTGCAGTACAGGATGTGCAGTACAAAACTGAAGAATCATCTTAAGGCAATTAATCGATCTCTCTTGTACTTCAAAGCTTTACATGTAATTTGTTATTGTGAGTGCTTGGCCACTATGATTTCAAATAGGCTTGTCCAAATTACAATGGCCCCATTCTTTGTACATTTAGAATGTTATGTAACTTAAATTACTGGCCAGAAAGTGATGGCCAGCAATTTACTGAACCCTAGAAGCATTACTAACAATTTGCTTGTCAACAACCAGAGAAGATATCTTAAGTAATTGCTGCAAGAGTTGATAGAGTTACCTTGAAAACCATGTATGTAATTATTTATTTTTTCTTATTAAAAAAGTTGCTTTTCAACCATTGCAGACGTTGAAAGGAAGATGAAGAGATCAGTGCTACTGGGGCCATAGAAGTTTGGGGTTTGTCCCCAAGAGAACCTCCACCAAAGTATGTTGACTGTAACAAGTAACCAATGAACAAAACTTTTCCAGAAATTTGATGAAAATTTTTTTGGTTGTTAAAATTTTTGAGTTAAAAAACTCCTCACTAGAGGTAGTCCCAAGGCTGTGCTTTAGGAAAATTTTCAGGGCGCCCTTTGGGCGCCAAACCATGACAAGTAGGTCGCCCAGCCTTCCAGGTTGGTCGCCCAAATTGATTAATTAATAATTAATTGATTGATTAATTAATTAATAATCCATTTTATAGTTGCCAAACAGTTTCATGTTCAATATTCACTTCACCGGGCACGGGCGGCGAAGCGAGTTACTATATTTAGCAGTCACGTACTCTATTTTGGCGAACTTGTGATATCGTGAAATCCTGTTATAAATTAACCACATACATGAAATTAGAAGATCCTCGCAGCTAAGAACACTACTGAAACGAGTAGTTGTAAGTAGGACCTGAAAAAAATTTCAGGCCCGTACGGGATTTGAACCCATGACCTCTGCGATGCCGGTACAGCGCTCTACCAATTGAGCTAACAAGCCAACTGGGAGCTGGTAAATGAATTGGGTACAAATAATACAAACATTTTTCAGGTCCTACTTACAACTACTCGTTTCAGTAGTGTTCTTAGCTGCGAGGATCTTCTAATTTTATCTTTCCACTATGCTTTCAGACCTCCTCATTGTCACGCCATATTGAAGACCACTAAAATAGGTTTCGAAACAAAAGGGTTCTTATATTAAAGTTTCGTTTTCGTCAAATTTTGATCGAATGATTACAATTGCGAGCAAGTCGCCAAATATGGTCCTGATAAACATCTTGCATGCCACGGACGAAGCTAATTAAATAAACACAAATTTGCATAAAGGACGGTTTCGTTTTATTAATCACGCGCTCCACTATTGAAACTGTTGAAACACAAAAATTAAATATAAGCATCAGCCACTTCAATAGAAAAATTAGATCTTCAACACATGCTTGTGCAAAAATCGTACAGTTTCTCACGGGTAAGGAAAAAATAATTTTTCGTGCTAAATCATGTGAAACAATATTACATAACACACGCGACAAGTTTGAGCGTGAACAATTCTTGTTGTTGTCCTGCCGAATATTTTTTAGTTCTGCAAATGTCATCAAATTAGCAAGTAAAATTATAAAATGTTAGTTACAATCAGTTGCTCGCTTTATCGCGTCGTTCAATGGACAAGAAACCTGGGCCATGTACTATATGAATAAACCGGAAGAGAAACCACCGAAGCGAAACAAGACCCGTGACCTAACTTAATATTTAACCTAAATGTACAGATCACACAGGCTATTGATTGCACTGTGCTTTCAGCGCTTTTGCTTTTCGGGCTAACGGGAGCCGGGGAGCACGATGGAGTTTCTTTTTGTTTCGTTCCGTTCCGTTTCTATACGTTTGCTGGTTTCGTTTCGGATTTTCACACAAGCCGAAATCAATGCGCCCGGACGGGCGACCGCTTTTCTTTTTCAGTCGCTCGAGACCAAATGTTAGTCGCCTGAGGCGACCGGGCGCCGCTAGAGTACAGCCTTGAGTCCCCAATTAAAATAAATTGGTATATTGAATTATTGTTTACATCACATTTTCTGTGTAAATCATTGCTGCAATAAATAGACGCAACTCTCTTTGTATTCTGAAAGAAAAGAAAACCTTTTCTTTTTAGGCAGATTTATTGGAATAAGCCCATAGGACACTTGAAAAGAAAAAATATATATTACAAAGGAGAGTTTTAATTCAAGGAGAGCATTAAGTGTCTATCAATTTTTAGGTTTTCTAATATGAAGTATTTTTTGTATTTTGATAGTCCTGATGGTGAGCTTACTAAGATGGCTCAAGCTGCAGACAGGATGAAAAAGAGTAAGTAAAAAGAACCAGTGATGATTCTCTTTCTAAAATTAACCATTTGACCCCTAAGAGTGACAAGCATCTAATTTCTCCTTAGATTATTACTCCTGAATCCGACATTAAGGTCACCAGAATGAAAGAAATGATCACCAACTAAAGAAGCCCTTGATTGTTGAACAAAGTCTCATTGTCAGCACCTGAGGAAATGTATGGAGAACAATATGGAGGATACTCATACTGTGGTTAGGGTGGAGAGGGTTAAATCATTTGTGTCACTCAATGCAGTACTTTCACTACTGACTGTACAGTCTTAAGTTACACGTGTTGGTATTGCAGAGCTCGACCTCTTGACTGTTGTACATACATACTAATGAGCTTCTTTTGAACATGTTTTTTAGAGCATTTTGAAAAGTTACACACATTTGTGTGCTTTTTGTCTGAGTATCTCTGAGCTGTACTGTATCTTACAATGTCGCCCCTGTATCAAACATCAAGGTCACAAGAAAAAAGAAAATGATCACCAACCAAAGATTGTGAAACAAATTCTCCTTCTCAGCACCTTATTTAGTATAGAGAACATTATGGAGAATATACATACTGATGGTGGGGTGTAAAGGGTTTAAGGGGACATTCAATTAATTTGTCTTCTTGTCATTATAGACAAAATAAAGAGGGAGGCAATGGTGTCACTAGGCCTCTTTCACTGATGCAAGATGCAGGCAATCAAGACATTACAGAGTAAGTACAAATATCATCACAATCACAGAAAGTGCAACTGATATTATGAACTATTGAATCTTGTCCTGTAAAAAACAATGATATTGGTAGATTATGACGTGATTTGAGACTGGACCAGTTTATTCAGTTACTAGGTAATTAAGTATTATCAACTGAGTTAATATTGAAAAATTTGGCCACCATCAAGAGTTTTAAAGCGTAAGTTGTGCGCAGAAGAAGGACTAATGCTCAAAAAATCAGCTTTTAAACCCTTTATGGTGTCTAATTTACATTATCAACTCAGTTGATAAAACTAAATCACCCTGTTATACTCTTCCACCAATGCAGCACCACCGTTTCTATCAAATCTTGCTCCCTTTACTCAGTAACTAGTTTGCTGTTCTGCAGTGAACAAGAATAGTGGACTCCAGAGTGACAAATGTTCAAAACGTTGTTAGTAGGCAGCCAATTTGCATTTGTTCCCACTGGTGAGTACTCATATCAAAATGGGCCAGTTTAAGAAACTTCAGATACTAGAGTTTCAAATGGGACACCAGTGTTTGAAATCAGTCACTAGTGTCCAAAACCAGAAGCTACTTCCCATATTTGGACACTAGTGTCCAAAATCTAAAACTAATGTCCAAAATTTGACTCTTAAACGTTAGTGTCCAAGTTTGGACACTAGATCCCCAAATCCTCCTTTACCATCTGTTACCATCTGCCTATTTTTGCAGTCCTGAGAGGGTCCTCCATCAACCCTACAGAACATTACTACATTGATACGCATTCATTCTGCAACTGCACACAGCCCAAAACGAATATGAGGCATCTGAGTCACCATGACAAATCTTCTGTTCATTTGTGTTTATTAATTTCTGTCCTTTTTCAAAAGCTTTGGTGGAGCTCTGCCACCTGTTGAGGGTGAAGCGATGGCACAGTATGTGAAGAAAGGCAAGCGAATCCCTCACTGTGGTGAGATCGAGCTTACAAGTGAAGAGATTGTTACATTTGAATCATCTGGTTATGTGATGAATGGAAGCAGGTATGATAGCATACCTTAATCATTCAGAAAGAGCATTTTAAAACCTTGGACCAAACAACTAGTGCTAAAAGTAACACACTCCACTTTATCCAGAGGGACTCTGGAACAATGGCATTGTACATGGGTTATTACAGATCATATCACTGCTAACTATTTGTGTTTTCTTTCTGTACATGAAAATTTATCCTCTTCTTTACATTGCTGCTGATTTGTCTGCAATATTTTCTTTCAAATTATCCTTTGCAGACTGGCCAATTTGCTGGTCAGCTTTTTCTGTTACTTGATAAGTTCCTTTTAGGCCACAGACTTAAATTTATTGAGAATGAATGTTGCAGTAAACAAGTTCTTCCTATGTCTTGATTTCAGTCAAACTACTTGCTTGGTGTTGTGGATTACCGAAAAATTTGAGACAAGAAACACCAAAATTTTACATACAAACAGCACATACAAGTTAATCATCCAACAATGGTTTTTGCAACACCTTTCCCACTTACTTTCCTCACACTGAATGTAGTTTCACCAACACAGAGTATAAAGAGGAAGCTTATGGGAGACATAATCTTTCCATGGAATACCACTTAGAGCGAACAGTGCTTAATTCCATTGTGACTGTAAAAAAGAACAAAACAAAACAAAGAACATGGAAGCTTGAAGATTGTTTTGTGTCCATAGCATCAGTTGGTATTTTTCTTGATTCCAGCCATTCACTGCCTTGTAACCCTCTTACTTCTTGTTTAACAGGCGAGCACTGGCTATGTTTAATTATGAGGAACAATCCAAGACAAAACAAAATCTTTTCAGACCTCAGGGAGATGATTCATCAGAAAATCAACAAAAAGAAATAGTAAATGTTACTCCAGCTATATTAGCTTCCTCTAGTTTCGACTGCTCTTTCCAGTGTTGCTTGATGATGGACTGGCGTACCAAATACTGGACATGCAAGTAGCAGAGAAGGAAATGAGAGAAAGTCCTACCCATAGACAGCCAAAGCAATGCTTTTGCATCATTCAGAATTAATGTATTCTTCTTTTGTGGTCTCGGTTGTTCAGGCGGATAATACTATCCACTGGACTAATCTCTTTCCAGTGGATAGTCCACCACCATATTCTGCTGGATAACAATTTTATCTGTTGGATATCATTATCTACCCTCTAATGATATTCTAGTCACCCCCAAAATTGAAATGGGCAGCGGAAACGAAAGTTGTCAAATTCTTGGAGAGGAATTAAAAAGCCTCTTTCGCTGACGACAACGAGAAAATCCTGTAAACACGGCCTAGAAAATGGCAAGCAAAAGCTTAACCGAAGAAGACGAAGAAGCGACAACGGTCGTCATATATACAGACGAAGAAATAAATACCCTAAATCGCGATGTTAAACTTTCAGTGCTTTCGCTTGGACACTTCGTTTCTTCCAGTTTTGCGACTAAAGAGGCAAAAGGTGTAAATTATTTTCCTCCTTGAGCATATGATTTGGAAAAATATGTTAAAGATGAACGGCTTGTAAATTTAGTGAAATACCACTATTAACCTTAAGACATTGTGTAGCTTGTTTCAATAGTTTGAAAACAAATGTAAAAACAAGCACAAGATACAAATAAAGTTGTCGGAGATTCAAATGTGTAAGACTGACTGTGCTTCCTATTCACTGACGCAATGACAGTTCTGACAATTGACTTTGAAATGGCTTTCTGGGGCGTGCGCTCAGGATAAAAACAAACTTTCTCTTTCTCGTGTTTTTATTCAATCATGCGATTCAAGAAAAATTCACTGCCTGACGAGTAAATTCCACGTTAAATTTCCCTTGAAAAACCGATATCACAATTATCGCTTCGCGACTCGTTTATATATATATCTGTGTGTGTGTGTGTGTGTGTGTGTGTGTGTGTGTGTGTGTGTGTGTGTGTGTGTGTGTGTGTGTGTGTGTGTGTATGTGTGTGTGTGAAAGAATCAAAGGGGACGCATCGATTCTCTGTTACTCTAAGTTTTGCGCCTAAGCGCTCGTCAGAAAGTTCTGTCTGACGAGCGCTTAGGCGCGAAACTCAGAGTAACAGAGAATCGACGTGTCCCCTTTGATTCTTTCACTTCTATATACCCAGCTCTGCTACCACAGCATCGAGCACTTTGTGCCAAGGTACACTCTACTCCACATTTATATATTTATATATCGAAATGTATCGATGAAAAAAGCTTCTCGAAATAAATCAAACAATCGAACTCCTTGAGAGAGTTTGAAATGAAATCGACAAAACCAATTTTTCAAACTGAGATTATACTCTATATGTGTGTGTGTGTATATATATATATATATATATATATATACATAAATATTATGGGAGGGAAAAAGGGACGCAACTACACTTCCCGACAAGCCTGTTTCGTGAATCGCTTCACTCTTCAGGGGTTTAAAGACTTCCTATATATATACATATATATATATGTATATACATATATATATACATAAGTTAAAGAATTAAAGAGGAGGAAAGGAAGTATATATATTTATAACTTAACAAGGCCGGATCAGTGGTTACAAGCTATAATGCAATACTGGCTGAAACTACACCCTTTAACCAAACAGTAATGATATGGATAAGAAAAAAATTCTGTTTAGTCATATTAAGAATATTGGCGGGTATGCAAGGTCTACAGAGCTTACTATCAGGATGTATAAATTTGAGAATTTGGTAGCTCATATTGAGGTTGGGTACTTTAATATAGGCTTATATCCAAATGTTCAGGGTGTATTTTTTATAACAGTATAACCCAAACATTTGCAGGAGCCTTAGATCCTGGCGGATTATACAATTCACTGTAGGGGCAGAAGTATTTATAAGAAGTCTTGGTAGGGCTCACCTTCGGTAACAGTGATTACGTGATGAGAATCTATAGAAACTTTTTAAAATGATTGATAAAATAAAGGGGAGCTCTATTGCTTTTGAAGAAAATTGAGGCAACTGGAACAAACTATTTGCCTTTGAATCAGGAGACCCACTCAAACTTTGACTATTAGTAATTTTTTTAAGTATTGGGAAACGCAAAGCAAAACACCCCTTAACATTCATAATATTAGCAATTATTTCCAACATCATAACGAATATACTAATTATCTCAGTTGTATTTTGTTGTCCTTGCAGCTCTTGGGGTGAAATTTTAGCAAGGTAACAGGGTAATCATCAAGGGCAGGGGACCAGGAAGTTTCCGCATCGATTCTCTCGATTCTCTCTATCAATACCACAGCATTGAGCACTTTATGCCAAGGTAGACTCCACCCCCACATTCATTTATATATATATATATATATATATATATATATATATATATATATATATATATTTATGTTGCGATAGGGGGGGAAAACAGAGAGACTATACTTTCATCCCTACAAGCCTGTTTCGTGATTGCTCACTCATCAGAGGATTTTATTGTTAAGAATATTCGTACCATCGTTTACATAAATTTATATATATATGTATATATATATATTCTAGGTACAACTCGCTGAGCTTTCCTCCAATCGTCATTCATTGCTTCGTGATTCGTTTCGATATATATATTACACTCTTCTCTCTTTTGGTCAAATATGTCCATGCACTAGCACTTGCTAATTGCGGTTCGGAAAACAAACTCTTGCACCTCTATGGTTTAAACATACAACAGCTCGTTTATGATGAACGGGTCAAAGATAACACTCGTTTAATTATTGTAAACAAGGTTTAAGCTTTAGTAGGACTGTGCGATGAAAAAAGCTTCCCGAAATAAATCAAACAATCGAACTCCTTAAGTGAGTTTGAAATGAAATCGACAAAACTAATTTCTCAAACTGAGATCGTGTAGTTTTTTAGTACAGTATATTAATATGCTCAGTATTCTTGTAAAACAGGTTTGACTTTGACTACAGTTGTTTTGGTCTTCCGAGCTACTGTGGTTAGTTTATGAAACCCTTCAAAAACAATTGTGAGTTTTCACCTGATGGAAAAACCGTGTTAACATGAAATTTTACTGCAACTACTAATTCAAAAACAAGCACTATTTACAATACTAATTATAGGTAACAATTTCTAGCATCGGTTAAAAAACTAACGTAAGCTACTAATGAGAGAAAAGTTAATGCCAAACTCTAAATATGTGCAATACTAAATTACCTTCGGATACTAACATGACTTTTTATGATAACAACCCTACCTAACTGACTAAGTCGGAGGAATTATAGGAATAGCTAATCATGTCAAATCAGTATGACTGACTTTAGCAGCAAATCATTTGTCCCCTGTGGTAAGGGTAAGCTGATTCATCATCTCATAGGATAGAGTAAGAAAACATGAGATCGAGAGATCCTCGTGGGCTGGTAGAGTTGAGATATTTAAAGAAAATCGGCAGCGTGAGGCAGGCCATGTTCACATAGAAAGTCATACAGCTCACCCACTGTTCTTAAGTTGAGTCGCATGGCGAAAGCATCCAGAATGGTAGTGCTCACTGAATATTTCATGTCGCTTGGTCTCAAATCCAGATCCCTTAGTTCCCCCAAGGGATATCTCCCTAAAATGAAGAAAACAAACATTCACCTTAATTGTGCGTCACAAAATATGACTTGTTTATAATTGAACGCCCACTAGACAATCAAGTTATATGAGTGACCTACTTTATGAACTGCTAGCAGGGATATACTCGTAGACCATTGTAATGAAATAAGGGATAATATGTTTGCAGTATGGTTTCATTTCTAGTATGGGTCTATGTGATGCAATCATGGAGTAGAGTAGATGTAAAAGTAGAGACGACACTCCAGACTCATTAGTGATAACAAGTTTTTCTGCTGTTTCGATATTTCTTATTTAAACGAGAAGACCAAGCTTTGCCAGTTTTTTTCGGTGATATGTAGTTTTTTGTGTCGTCTCAACACGCCTCGTGACTATTGTTTTCCTGGTGAACAGAAACAAAGAAGCGATACAAAATATGAGACTGAAACCATGTGCAAACAGGTCCATCACATGATACGGGGTGACTCCACAAGTCTACTGGTTCAATAAAACTGATTACAAAGGGAATGTGTCACTCGGCCGGTTGCCATTAGGTCGCAAATGGAATTTCGCAGCCCGAAGCAGCCGCATCTTAGTAAATTGGGTCACCTTAATCCGGATTGGATTCGAAAAAAGTTGTAATCACCGTGAACGTCGATAGCCTGGAACATGCCACAGGCCACTGAACAAATGTATTTACTTGTAGTAGCTCTTATTGGACGACTATTTCACAAAATGTTACTTACATTTCAAAACACGTGACAAAAGGTTTTTTTTTAATTTCGATATCTCCTTGATGAGCATATTCTCAGGTAATCGAGGACCTGAAAGAAAAGAAGAATCATCTTAGGAATAAATACTGACTTTGACTCAATGGCTTCGCACACAAACGTAGAATCGTAATAAAGGCTCGACCACACGAGTCAAATGATTCGAAACTATGATTTATGGAATTCATAAGGACCCCCCCTCTCAATTATCATTAATGATTCTTTCATCACGTATATTGTCTCTCGCTCGCGTTTTTCCGATGTGTTGATAAGAACTTTGAACTTTGTTGTTTTTCGCGACAAAGTCTCTTTTTTTCAGCTGTTGTTAAGCGAAACGGAATAAATTTACTACACCACTGATCATTAACCTTAGCAACGCGACCCAGCTGGTACTTTTTTCTTAGGAGTTAGGCGAGAAGACCCGAACCCAGTTTTCGCGCAGTCATTCTTTTTGTAATTATCTCGATTGTCTTTCACGCTCCACAACTGAGGACAACAGAGGTTGCTTATTGTCAAGCGAACGGAGGAATTAGATGATGACTTTCACAGCTACGCCAGGGGAAGTTTATTCTTAATTCAAAACTTTTAAAAGCAAGTTAGTGCGAAATTAGTTTAACGGAAAGTATTTTCTGTTTTGGATTTTCCTAGGTTACTTCAAAATACCAATTTTTCCTTCCATACTTCCGTTGTATTTTATTCAAATAGTTTGCGATTCTGTATAGCTTAATCTAACTTTGTTACTCGATGACGTATATTCAAACTAAAATTTAAATAGTAACAAGGACATTATTTTGCTGCTGAACATGACATGAGTAATATCCAAACATGTATTGCAGACTTAAAAGTATTGTATGTTTACTGCAAATTATTTCCTATTTGAATTTCGCAGATTAAAGAGTGTTCGATGTTAAAGGCCTTCTGACTATTTTGTTAACAAGACATCATGGTTATAATTGCTTAAAAATCAATAGATAAGTATTGTTAAGGATTTAAGGAAATGATATTAAACAAAAAACCTGTTGTTCCTGCTGGTACGTTCTTTCGTAGGTACTCAAACACGTCGAATCTGTTTAAAATTTTAGCTATTCTTGCCAAGCCACGGAAAGCTCTTTGGTCCTCTGCGGTTGGATTTTTGAAAAAGCATTTATCTAGCTGTAAAGAGTTTGCCAACTGTTGCATAACAGCTTCAGCACTGCTTGACGATGTCAAAACAGGTTCTACGATGAATCAAAAAAGAAAGGAAAAACAGTATTTACGATCACAGAATAATTAACCACGATACTGACATCAGACTGTCTGAGAAATCTGATGGTTGCTCATGAACTGTTCAAATGGGAGTTTGCTGTTTTAGGTGTTTTAAAATCAGCAGACTCATTCCAATAAAAGGCCGACTAATTCTAAGGGGCCAGATGCAAGTTCAAGTAAATCAAGTGCCAAAAGGGGGATGAATGAAATTTAAGGGACTGTTATGCTATGCCAATACAGTAAGCTTTCAAGTTCTGAAGAAATGCAAGTTTCAGCCAGACCAAATACGAAATAAGAATTTGGTTGTAATCACGTTCATCCGCTGGCTAATTCAGACTGACAGGCCTAATTGGAGATGAAACAAAATTTCACATTCAAAGTTGACTGATAATTATTGTTGTTGTCGTTGTTGTTTTTTCGTTTTTTGACAAAAATACTGTCATTTGAAAATACTGTTCTCAACCTGTGTGTTTGTTGAGATCCAAACGCAAATAAATATACGATTCGTGATATAAGATATCATTCATAAAGAGTGTCCACGTTTGTAGGTGGTTTAGTTATGCCATTAGTTTTAGCAGGTCATCCTAATTAGCTCATTCTCATCCACACTCCGTACGCGTTATTGACCAGTTTAAGGTCAAGATGGCTGGATCTCTCAGCAACTCGTCCCTATTCTATTGAAAATTATCAGTCGCTGGAGACTAACTGTCACCTTCACCTTTGTCAAATCCATATTCAGAAGGGGCACTACTCCAGGTCCCTTCTCCGCTATCACTCGGTAGTGTGATTTCGCTGAAGGTCTCCCGAAGATTTTCCAAATATTCTTCTACACGCACTTTTCTGTCAAATGGTAAAAACTCTCTCTCTGGAAAAGGATCCTTTGTGTTGGCTACGGTCATGTTTCGTTCTTTCAGAAGGTCTGAATCAGAACTTGCTCGTTCTTTTAATCCTCTTTTCTCTTCAAGTTCCTTCTCTAAAATTTACAATCAAAAATGCAATATAATGCTGAATGAAGCGGTGTGTTCCACATCGTTTGCAAAAGGGAACTGAGACATTGAGCTTGGATAATCATCAAGCTCTCGGAAATAGATCACATACTAGTGAGAAATAACCCACAAGGTAGGTGAAACTTAAGAGCGAATGTTACCAATAGTCAAACATATGGTGGCAACAGCTGAAAATCAATTTCGCTTATATCTCAAAGTTTAGTAGGTCTTAATGGGAAATAAGTCACGGCATACTTCGTTTGGCTGAATATCATTTTATTTTCGAGAAAATCGATAATAACAAAATTTTGCCAAAATGCCGCTTTTGAGGCTCAAAAATTCAGGCAAATGTCGGAGCGTCGCGTCACAAATTGAAAAAACCTGGACCGATAAAAAGTAGCAAATCTTAAAAAACAAGATCAAAACTTATTTTGTGAGCAATCTAAGCAATTCTTGACCATTTATTTACAAAATCTAATTGAATTTATCCGACCAACTTCTAACTATATAAAAAATAGGTCAAAAGTAACCCGAGCCGTTATTTAACTATGTGCTACACAAAATAATTTGTTGAAAATCTGGCTTTTGGAAGGCAGAGTGTAGTTCTTTTCGATCTTCATAGGATTTTTTTTTTGGGAAATGATTCGGCGCGATCTAATCAAATTTTAAAGTTGGATAAAATGTGCCTATTCGACGGTGCCGTCAATTAGTCGAAAATGTACACATACACACGTAAACTCAATTGTTTCGAATTTTACGTACAATCTACGGCTTATTAACATAAAATCCTCTTATCTTTTACTGTGCTACTTGAAGAAGGAGGCTACAGTCCTGAAATTATGGCATCGTTCACATAAAAGCAAAATAACTTAGCAAGATAGTCGACGCCCTCGGGGGGTTTTATTTGAGGTTTCCCTACTCCCATTCCGTCGAAGAGGAGGCTTTATTTACTTCACGTAAGAGATCTTTGCTCAAATATTAGAATTCAACCAAACCGCAAACAAAATGTAAGCGGAATGTCGCTGGCTCGGAAACATGTTTTTTGTGTGCGGAATAACGCTAATTAATTGAAAATGAGGTCTACTGAAATCGCCAACTCCGCAAGAATGGAACATTGGACTGTGAAACATATGTGGCTTCGGGGACTTAGGTCAAGTTTTAAATATTCGAAACAGGAGCAAGCAATCATCTAAACCCCGATCATGATTAAAGGTATCATGGTCAAATGAATCATGGTATTTTTAATTATTGTTTAAGGTGAATAAAGCGAAAGATCCTCAAAGGGCATAGCCCATCACTGCAGATGTGCAATAGAGCAAAGTGCAAAGTTAAAATATTTGTTTCTTTAAAGAGAGCTGTATAAGGGTCAAAACGACAACTGGCCATGGAAAACCACAGCTTTCAGTGAAATGTTTGTACCAGCCAACGTTCTACAGATTTATATGTATACTTCTTCTTTCCTAGAGGCTACCGTTCCTTATGAAGTTACCCGTGCAAGTAGATAAACAACGACCCAGATAGCACGTTCTCATATTCACTTTATCTTTTCCGGGCAGTTGTCCAAAAAAGCTTAAGTTTGGTTATAAAATATTTCTGTGTACCACGAAACTCAAGAAACGGATAGAGTAATCAAGGTACCAGCTTCACATCAGGAGAGGAATCGTGAACATCGATCTATGAAATACTTCTCATTGCAGACTTTTAAAATACATGTCTCCTGACCGTGAATTGTGTTGACGTAGTATATTTAAACAGCGGCTTTTAAAAAAATCAACCCTGCTAGTTAGATATTTAATAATCTTGCCCAAGAAGCTAGCCTCGTGTGCCACTTTTTTGTTCTTACCGCATTTTGACGTCATCTGTGATATATTACAGAACAGACGCACGGCAACTTGGAATCTATTTGTTAAACATATCATAGTGCGCAGATGATGCGTAATGACGATTACACATGCCTGTTGTTTGGTCTGACCAGTGTTTTCACGCCCACTTCTAAAATACTAAACATCTAGATTTTTCCAGAAAAAACAAAGGAAACAAACTCTTGCACGATTTGGTACTTTTTATCAGTCCAAGTTTTTTCAACTAGTGACGCGATGCATCGAGATTTGCCGGAAATGCGGCATTTCGGCGGGATTCATGTACTATCGATTTTCTCGAAAATAGATCAATATTCAGCCAAACGAAGTATGCAGTGGCTTGTTTCTCTCTAGGGCCTACCTAACTCGAGAATATGATTCGAAGTGATTCTTTGCCTGTTGCCACCACATTTTGAAAATGTTCGATTTTTGCCCACATTTGCTCCTGAGTTATCTGGAAATTGTATTTTGGAGCACATCTCAAAGTTGCTTTTCGAATGAGTTTTAGAACCAGTAATATCGACCCGTTTGAAGTCAACGCTTTTCATATCACAGGGCTGTTTTCACGGAGGAGTTGTGGATGTCATTCGGATAATCAATTCGAGAACCTGTTGCTTCGTGAAGAAAAAGAACAATCCTTTGGACATTTTGATCGATTATGAGCAACTACTCTTTCCCAGCTCAATTTGTCGGTCGACCAAAGAAACCTAAAAAAATAATATTGCGACTCACAGGTATTCTTTAAACCCGCGTGACAGATCAGGATGAAAAAGAGGAAATATACCAAGTTCAATTTCTGCAACATGGATCTTTCCGCAAACTCAAATATCTGGACTTAAACAATTTATGTTAGCCATAGGGAAGTACGTTTACGAACAAAGAGCGCCTATCAAATAATTTTAAAATATTGAGATCCTTTCTCCTCAGAATTCAAGCTCATGTAGATATAATCAACCTCCACACAATGGTTATAAGGCGTAGTGCATGATGTCTTGGAGAAGAAACGAAAAAACTAAATGAAAACATAATTTTTCTGAAGACTCAGCTGGTTTAACCGTATATTTTTCCTTTGTTAACACGTAAACTAGTAGCTGAAGACTCACCTGGTTTAACCGTATATTTTTCCTTTATTAACACGTAAATTACTCTCTTCACTCGCGCCAAAATTGAATGATATTTTAACTGTATACGGCTGTTATTTCATGAAAGGTAAGTTTAAATCAGGACTGGAACATCAGCCAGAAAATAAAACTGGAGGGTTATGTATGAGCTGGTGTATATTTAGTCTCATGGCGTGTTTCAATAAATCGCATACGAGGAAAAAATATTAGATGGATCGTAACGCAACAACTTTTTAAAGAAAATTACATCGCATCTTCTAGATGCCGTGATTCGTCCCATTATATTTGATAAAACAAGAGACGTTTCTAATTCATCTCGCACAAGGAGTCATGCATAATGGCGGGACTATTCAAGGTGTTATTACCTTCTGTTTCTGATATCATCAAATCCAACATAGCATTTCTCTATTCATCTTCGTCGATGTGCACAGTCAACGTCACTTCACCACCTGCCAGCTGCTTTATTTCCTCAGTAACAAGAAACTCTTGTAAATTTGTTTGTAGTGTTGCATCTTGATAACTTTGCCATAGTGCGTCAAGAGCGGAAATATTTTCTGCTTGAAGCGTAAATTGGATCGATCCTTCACTAATTGTACGCAAGCAATTTCCAAATGGAAGAACAGCTTCTTTGAAAGCATTGACAAATGCTTCCATACTAGGACTCCTGCGAAGGACCATCCATGTAGAGACGACCACAGCACTACCAGTAACATTGCGAAAAGTACAGTGAGGTGTGACAACTGTAAAAAGTGTAGAAATCATAAGGTTTACATTAGCCGCTTGTGGAGTCGTCCGAAAAAGCGGGGCTAAGCAAAGAAACAAACGTTAGAGAGAGTTTGCTTAGGAGAGCACTCCTTCCCAGACTTCTCGCGTAATTCACTTTCCAGTACATCTGCTCATCTCCAGTGACTGAGAGCCTTGCAAAGACTAGATTTTAGTGGATTTTTATTTTTCCAAAGTTATACGTTACTGAGAAAGACGACAAGGATGCATATGAATGAAGAGGCGTCGAGGGACTATGAAAATAAAATACTCTTTGACGATCACAAAAAAAATAATGTAAAAGAGTTTTCCAAGGACAGCACCTTAACAAGTATAGTCTAGACTCACCAATTTCCATGTTTATTAGTAGATATGGAGCAAATTTATGTGTTGGTTCTCATCCTTACATTTAACTTCTTGGTAAGGATGACAAGGTTGGTCTTAAGTATGCGATAACCACGCAACGACTCTAGCAGCGTGAGCCTCCTAGACGCATTGTGTAGCAGGTTGTTCTGTCTCAGGTTTCAGGCTCCATACAATTTGGCTTTGTCACTCAGGCGCATAAATTAACATACCCTTACCTCTAATTAATCTTTCTCCAATGTTAATTCCACCGACAAGAACAGAAGCAGCCTGAGCTGGAATGTTTAAAAAATCGATTAATGAATCAATAATAAATCCGGGAGAGGAATCGTGAACATCGATCTATGAAATACTTCTCGTTGCAGACTTTTCATGTATCTGGCTTAGATTTACGATCAGCAGCGCCATCTGATCACTAGTAAATTAACCACTTAAACCCTATGGATGACTGCAGCATCTAATGCCTCACTAAGGTATCACTGCTGAATCAAACATTAGGCCCATAAATTAAAGAAATATTCGCAAACTTAATAACCCCTTGATTGTTGACTAAATTCCCCTTGTCAGTGCCACAGCAAATGTATAGAGAACGGAATGGAGAATATACGAGCTGGTTTTATGGTGTAAAGGATGAACAAATCAGCAGAGAACTAAAACCTCACTCCTTGCCTCTCTTGGAGACTTGTTTCAAGGAATAGAGGCGACAACAGCTTTTTTCGACTCAACTACTACCGCAGTGTTTTTTCGTGGGTGACCAGGTTACCAAGGTGTTTACCATGGCAGAGTCTTTTAACGCAGTTTCTTTCATGCGGCTAATGTAAACCTTTTTTCACAAATTTCAACCATTTTTTTACTCCTTGAATTCTCATCCCACAGTAACTAGTACGTTTTTATATGTATCTGCACGGAAGATGTAAACCTTACATGCAAAATTCTCCTTTAACTCTCAGTTGCGTCTCGCCGTTTTTGAAAAGAACACAGAGGAGGGCCTGAGAACGAAATCAATGTTTATTCGTCCGCCATATTGTCTACACAAATATTACCAACACTCTATCGATTCCTTCAAGAAGGTACTAATTGTACACTCAACGATAAAATCACAAATAACCTAATCAAAGCTGTCCACACATTTACGCACGCTATGAGCTTAAAATTAAGGAAAAACCTTTGCAAAATCTCAGGAATATTGGGCAGGAAAACACTCGCTTCGCAACTGGCAACGAAGCCATTGCATTGTGGCTGAGCGGTTTTCATCTAGGCAAGTGAAAGTGACGACTTACTCGTATTAACAATATAGTCCAGCATGTCATCTTCGCCAGCTTTGTTTCTGATTTTACAGTTCTTGGTATCTTCTCAAACAATCGGTTGAACTGACTTTAAACAGAGGTCTGGCAATTAACTTAACGCTAAGGATTCCGAGTCTGATCGACGATGTTTGATTTCAAGGACTAAACGTTTCCTCGAGGAAGTTCAAAACTGTTTCGATAAAAAGGAATCCAGTTTGAAACTATCCCTTACCTCGTGCTATTAGTTTGTAGTCCTCCCACTCTTTCCTTTTCCTCTCGGCATCTTCTTCTTGTTTTCTCTTCTCATCGAAGTCATCCACAAGTCTGCACACATCTGGTTTCTCCACTTCAGTTGCTATGGTTCTCAGGATACTTAGGTTTCCTATTCCCAGAATGTTCTGTTGTTCCAGCTCTGTGAACAATGCATCGACATTTGCGATGTGTTCTTTTCTTTCATGAGCTATCAGATTATGTCTTCGGCAAAGTAAAATAAGTCGTTGCAGTTCATTGGACTCGTCAAGTTCACGACTTATCTTTCCTAGAAACTGTTTGTAGTCCTTTCTCTTAATTTCAAATTCGTCCACTATTCGATAGATCCTTCTCCGTTAAGCGCCAACATTCTGAGCCATTCAGGAGGGTTGTAAGGACGCAGCTATGATAGAGCTTCAGCTTGGTACGAGTACTATAGGTGGAATAACGCCATACCTTATTCATCATATTGAGCGAATTTCTGGCCTTGTTGAGACGGCTCTGGATGTCCAGGTCAGTTCCTCCATCTCTACTGATGATACTGCCGAGGTAGGTAAATCTGTCTGTGTAAGGAAGCTCTTCGTTATCAATCTGGACTGGTCATGTGTTGGTAGCGTTCAGTGCCATAATTTCAGTCTTCTTACTGCTGATTTTCAGGCCAATTTGCTTTGCAAAGGTGTTGAGGCGATGCGTCTTCTCTTGTATGTGGGTGTGGGTGTGTGATAGTAAGGCTAGATCGTCTGCGTAGTCCAGGTCTTCCAGGTAGGAGAAAGGTGTCCATCTGATTTCCCTGACCTGATCTTCAGTGGTGCGATGCATGATCCAGCCCACGACAAGGTTGAAAAGAAATGTAGACATTACACATCCCTGCCTGACACCAGTGTGAACTTCAAATAAGATGTCGCCATCACCAACACAGCAGGTAAAGTTGTCATAGAAGCTTTTGATGATCTCAACAAGGTGGAAGGGGATTCCATATGCTCGTAATAACTTCCAGAGGCTGTGCCGGTGCACACTGTCAAAGGCCTTGGCGAAATCTACAAAGTTGATATAGAGAGTTCGCTGCCATTCGGTACTCTGTTCAATAATATTTCTCAGTGTGAAAATATGATCAATACAGCCCCTTCCTCTCCTGAAACCTGCCTGTCCTTCACGAAGTCTATGGTCCACAGTCAGTGATAAGCGCTTCATGATGACCTTCGCTAAGATCTTGCTAGGGGTGGATAATAGTGTAATGCCGCGCCAGTTGTTACAGTCAGACAGAGCTCCTTTCTTTGGTATCTTGATGATGACGCCCTTATTCCAATGGTCAGGAATTTTCCTTCTGTCCCATATGGTGTTGAAAAATGGCTGCAATATGTTTGCCGTAGTCACAGCGTCTGCCTTGAACAGTTCAGCATTGAGGCGGTCTTTGCCAGGTGTCTTGTGGCTTTTTAGAGAATTAATGGCTGCAATGATCTCTTCTTTCTTTGGTGGTCCGGTGTCAACACTTAAGTCCTCCTCAGCTTCTGGTATATCAGGCTCCTCTTCTGGTGGTGGTCTGTTGAGGACTTCATTGAAATGCTCTACCCAACGTGCTTCTTGGTCTTTTTCAGAGGTGAGAAGCTGTCCTAGTTTATCTCGTATGGGGACATTTCTATTGCCATTATATTTTCCACAGATCAGTTTAGTGACTTTATAGACATTTCTCTGCTCTCCCTTTTGTGCCGCTTCCTCTGCTTCTTTTGCTAGATCTTCCATATACGCTCTCTTATCTGTTCTGATCTTTCTTTTGACACGCCTGTTGGTTTCTGTGTAAGCCGCTCTATACTTCTCTCGAAGCCTGGCTGATTTACTGTCATTTATCTTCTTCTTCAGCTGGCGTCTCTCCTCGATAGCCTGCCACGTGTCTGGTGTAATCCATTCTTTCTTCTTTCTCGTCTTTTACATCCCCAGACAGCTTTTACTTGCTTCATCAAATATGATCTTCACTTGTTTCCACTGTTGATTTACAGTGTCTTCCTCTTCATCAATGCTTTGCTCGTCTATGTTACTCAAGGCTTGGAACCTGTTCCTCAGCTGTAGGACAAAAGCATTCGTAGTCCTTTGGTCTTGTAATCTGCTGATGTCATATCTAGGAGTGCGTTGTTTGTTTGGTCCAGCTGCTCTCAGTTTCAATCTCACCTTTGCAGTCACAAGATGGTGATCGCTGCTTGCATCAGCCCCTCTTCTTACTCTTACGTCAAGCAGGGAGCGGCGCCACATGCTGTTAACCATTAGGTGGTCTATTTGGTTTTGATCCCGCCCATTTGGGGATGTCCAGGTGAGTTTGTGAATGTTGCGATGCGGGAATAAGGTTCCACCGATGATCATGTTATTAAATGCACACCATTCTACCAGCCTCTCTCCATTGTCATTTTGCACTCCACATCCTTCTCTTCCCATGACTCTTTCAAAATTCAAGTTGTCTGAGCCCACCTTGGCGTTAAGATCACCCATCACCAGCAGGAGGTCTCTACAATGGACGTTCTCAAATGTTGCTTGCAGCTGCTCATAGAAGGCCTCTTTATCTCTGTCGTTGCTGTCATTTGTAGGTGCATAGCACTGTATGATGGATAAGTTAGTCTGCCTGCCCTTTAATCGTGCTTGAATAATCCTGCTGTTTACTGGTTTCCACTTCATTAAGTACTTTTTCATACCTTTCTTCATGATGATTGCAACCCCCTCATGATGTAAATCATCCTCTCTCCCAGAGTAGAGAACTGTCTCTCCTGTTGTTGTCTTCATTCTCCCAGATTTTGTCCATCTACTCTCACTTACGCCTAAGATATCAAGTTTGTAACGCTTCATTTCAGCAATGACCTGCGCCACCCTACCTTGCTCATACATTCTTCGCACATTCCAAAAGCCAATCAGTGTAGTTGTTTTTGCGCTGACGGCTCCCGTTGTCATGACAGCGGCTTCCTTTCGGCTTTGGCCACTGTCAGTTATTCGAATCCTATTACCTGCAGAGTTTCGGGTGTTTTCACTCTCGGCATTCACTGTTGCCCATGGCATGGATTCCGGAGGCTCTTCCTGCACAGATGATTCTTGTAAGTTACACGTTGCTGTTTCCGTAACAAAAGCTTTTTACATGATAGGGTTGTTAGCCCTATGCAAAACCCCCAAACCTGGAGGGCCGGTAGATTGCTTTTTGTCTGGCCCCTAACCTTTGACCTGTCTAGCATGGGTGTCCCTACCAGGACCTCGAGAGGTCCAGCCAGCATAGCTCTCGGGCTCATTGGAGCGCGCAAGCACCCCCACCACGTCAAGGTGGCAATCTTCAGGCATGTTTGTCCATCCTTAGCTGTGCATTTTCATGGAAGAACGTTTTTTAGATGAAGGGTCTAATCGGTTGATCTTCTTTCACTATCAATCGCTGCAATGGCCCTTCCAGGTTTTTCAGTCGTTTTGATATTCATTGAAATGGATCAGCTACCCAAAATCCATCGAGGGAAGAGCCTCAGTAAAATTGATAAAATAGCTAAGTTTGAGAGATAAAGGTGGAAGAGGTAAAGAAATATCACCAGTGACCCCAATCACTTTTTCGCGAACTGTTAGGTGTAAGATTATTTCCTTTATCCACCCTCAGCTGCATTTTAGCGGAAGTGTGTCCTTTTGAGAAGAAGAGTCTTATTAGTTTCTTTTCTTTGGCTACTAATCGGGACAATTGACCCTTTCACATTATTTTATCCAACGAAATGGATCAGTCATTCGAAATC